CTACAACCCATGTCTAAGTAAAAGCTTGTCGAGGAGCGAGGGGAAGAAGGGAGTGTGTGCCGGATTTTGAGACCACCGGCTCCTCCCCATTTTTTGTGTGGACAATAGAGCGAGCTCTAATGTGAGAAAAACAACAACAACAACAACAACAACAACAACAACAACNCGAGCTCTAATGTGAGAAAAACAACAACAACAACAACAACAACAACAACAACAACAACAACAGAACAAAAAGACGCGCAAACAACAACACACACACACAAAGACACCAACCACCACCACGACGAGAGCACGCCGACTTGTCACGGCAGCAGTAGCATGTCGATGCAGTTGTTTGTCGTGTAACAACATCATTTTAATAGGGTATTCATATGTAAAACACAAAATTGTGCACACGACGTGAAAATCCGGCTTGATATCCCCTAAAAACCTAGCCGAACCAGAGGCAGAAACGGATACCGTTCGCTACGCTACGTTCGTTCGCTGCTCCTTTATGGATGGCGGAATAGGCCGCACATTGCGTACTCCGGAGTAGTAGTAGTACCATAAGAGTTGGCATACACATAGTTTCATACTTTGCATGCATACGAAGTCTACTAGTTTATTTTGGGGTAGACTACAGCAGGAGGAATCGAATGTGGGCCTATACGACTGTAGGCCGCATTTTCCCATATTAGCATACGACACTAAGGTACGCACAGACGACCGAGTTCCGATACCTGGGCGGCCTCGTCAACGAGCAGGGCGACCTTACCCGAGAGATCAACCACAGGAGCAAAGCAGCGTGGGCGTGCATTAAGCGATACGCCACGGAGCTCTTCGACCGACCGGGAGCACCGTTTCGCCTCAAAGCCCGCCTGCTCCAGGCGGAGGCAGTGGAGGCACTGCTATACGGCTGCATGACATGGTCCCCACGCCGCAACCACTACGGAATGCTGCAGACGACACACCACCGGCTACTCCTGCGAGTCATCGGCTACCGGCGCAAACGAGGCACCTACCGGCAGCTGTCATACGCCCAGGCGCTAAAGAGGGTCGGCTGCCAGAGCGTGGAGGCCACTGTCCGTCAACGGCGCCTGCTCTTTGCGGGGGCCGTGGCAAGACAGCCGGACGGGCGGCTTCCGAAACGGCTGATGTTCGGCGAGTTGGTGGGAGGGGAGGACCCGGGCCAGGGAAACCCGGAGCAGAACTGGCTGACATGCCTGAAGGACGACATGAAGATGTTCGAAGCCAGGTACGGCTCCACGACCGACAAGCCGAGCGTCTTCGGAGTCCCGAAGTTAGTCTGGAGTGAGGCGGCGAAGGTGGAGGGGGGGGTACCGTGGCACGCGGGGGTGCTACAGGGAGCTGAGAGGTTCATGGCCTCTTGGCACAAGGGCAAGGAGGAGGCCAGCCGACAACGAGCCATCAAACGAGGAGACAGCGGGCCCAAAAATAGTCTAGATACGGCACCAATCAACGGGGCGGTAGGGGGGCGGAAGGAAACGGCGCGGCGGGAAGAAAGCAAGCGAGAAGAGACCGACCGCGTGACGTGACATGTTGCGGTCGAATTTCAACGACTAATTTTTCTGTTGCCCTCTCCCCCGTTTGCTGTCGCGTTCAGACTGTCTCTAGGGATATCCCTGTCTCTGTGCGAGTTTGTTTGTGTCCTCGTCTTTGCTTTATTCTGTTTTATTTTGTCTTTTGTTTTGTTTTTTACTGGCACGTACCCCCGCCCCTTCCTTTGGCCGTCGACCTGCCTCCATGTAGTGGGAGGCTACCCCCCCAGGCTGGTGGTGCGGCCGTTCCACTAGTCTAATTATTTATTTTATTTTATTTTATTTGTTTCTGATTATATTTTGTTTTCTTGTATTTTATCGCTCTGCTGACCCTTGGGGTCCGTTTTATTTTGGTATACCTTTTCTAGGTACGTTAGCCTGTGACCACGGAAATTGGCCGAGTCAAGTGATGGATTAGTACGGAGAGATTGAGAAAGAAGGAGGTACTGGATAGAGAGACCGGGATGGTTTTTAATGTGAAGACAACAACAACAACAACAACAACAACAACAACAACAACAACAATCTGCGGCGTGCCGCCGGAAATTTTTTTGGGCCGCATCTTTTCGCCGGAGGCGGAGAAAATTCTTTGCGGCCCCCTTGACCTTTTGCACTGTTGTGTGTTCTTTTGATCTTCTGATGGCTCTTTTGTGACCACGGACCGAGCCTTTGCCAGATTTTGGGAAGTAGCCTTAGCAACTAACACGAGTTTAATGTCAAGAAAAACAACAACAACAAACAATAACTGTATTTCCGCTGGAACGAGACGTATTACGATGAGTTGTACAAGGAAAACCCGGAAAAATTTCGCTCCCCAGGTCCCTCCGGGAAGGGCCCTGCGCGGGCGGCGCCCTCCGGGGGCCCTCCCGGGAGTCCCCTGAGGGGAGCCGCATCTCGCCTTCGGCTCGGAGCTGCGCTAGCACAGACCAAGCCTCCCGACCTTTGACAACACATGTTGCATACGTCATCATTTGCACTTTAGGAGCAACATTCAACATTGAGAAAATACCTCGGTGGCCGCAAAATAAAATTCGAACGGTACAAAAACCTCGGTGGCTGCATCCACACGTATCTGCCTCGTTCGTTCCGAAACCAGCGCAGATCGCAGCAATTCTAGCAGCCTGTGTTGTTGCAGAGGTGCAATCGGCAGCATGGTGAAGTCTTGCCTCGCGGACGTGCAGGAGGCGCCGGGATTCTTGCTTTCGGTGGCTGGCGTGGTGTTCGCGTCTCTGCTGGCCGTTACCCTCTCTTCTTGGAGAAGAGACGCGGCGAAGAACAAAGCGCGGGTTGCACGGGCCCTGAGCGACGAAGCTGTGGCTTCTGCCAAGAGACGGCAGGCGAAAACGTACCCGGAGTTCACGATGGACGCGGTGCACATGCACTGCACAGCGAAGGATGCTTGGGTCGTCATCGGGGACGGTGTCTACGACGTAGGCAAGTGGGCTCCGCATCACCCAGGAGGAGAACGCAACATCGTCGACATCTCCGGCAGGTGGGTGCCATGCAGATGATGGAGGAGAGGAAAGGAACGGAGAGAGTTGGCACGGTTACAACTTTGACGTGTGGTCGTTATTTGTGCGGCAGATCTACAGCAGCGTCTCATGCGATCCGTACGACAGCTGTACCCCTCACGCTGGTGGCTTAATGGGAGAATGGACAGTACGTCGACGTCGCTGGCAGCCTCCCGTAGCCTGTCGCATGCTTCCACATCCAAACCCAACACTCCGGCAATTCCCTGAATCGGCGATGTGCGCCCGAATGGAACTTTGGCGAACGTTTTGGGAAAAAGCTTCTTTTGAGGCAATCAGAGATTCTACGGGTGCAAACATGACGGCCATCAACTGCTGCTGGGTTGAGCCTGTCACTCACAGGGGAAGATGTCGCGGAGACTAGCAGATACACCGTTGGGCCACATGTAACAGCAACTAACACATATTTTTTGCCACAAGTCATCCCTCCGATGGACTTGGATAGATATGAATGTTCAGTGTATTAAGGAGAAATAAATACACGCACAGAAAGACTACCCATTCGAGATATACCCACAGTCGAACGGGATGTCGTGGAGTCTTTTCAGTGTATTATTTGAGCGGCGGTGTATTTTTTTCCCGATGACGTCCAGGAGCTTCGCGGGGATGCTTGTAGGCTTGCATGCACTCCAGGCTCCACATGGCATATTCTTTTCATACCCGGAATGTTGTTGTTGTAGTGTTTAACTCTCGAATGACTTGTTATACAGCATGCCCTCGTGGAAAATCGGCGAACACTCACCAGGACACACGGTTGCCCCGGTGGTCTAGTAGGTGTGCCGGCAGGTTGCTTGTAGTGTCGCGATGAAATGAGTGACCGGCAGAGTCAACAAACACCGAAAAGACAAACGCGACAGTCGGCAGATGGTGCCTGTTGTTGCCTCTCCACCAAACTTGTCCAGCGAATTTGACCTCCACCCAGTACCCCATCCTCTGTGTTCGTAGACTTTTTAAAAAAGACGGTGCCCGCGTCGAGGACAATTCCCTATTTTCACGTTCGGTTCCATCTCTCACCTCCCACAAGATGGGTATTCGTCCCATCTATTCTGGCGCCGGGTTACAGGCCTTTCGGTGTATTTGTCTTGATGGGGGCAAAACATAAGTAGCAGATTTTCGAATTTGTGACGTTTCTGCTGACGGGTGTGCACGAGGTGAATTTTCAGGCTCAGAAGATCGTGCAGTGAATCGACTCGCCGCCGGGTTGATCGGATGCTGCTTAACCCTTGAAGCCATGTTCTTGTCTCATTGCATTCCACCGTCCCCTTCCTCCAGTACTTGCACATGGGAGTATATTACGAGCACTCATGTTCGCGAACAACGTCCCCGCCCCCCCCCCTTGTTCGGGTGATCGTGCAGAGATGTAACGGACGTGTTCGAGGCGTTTCACCGTGAGCCGCGGCACCGACAGAAGCTCGAGGGTTTCCGGATCGGCACGCTAGTGGGGTACACACCTTCACCGCTCGTGCAGGACTTCAGGGTTCTTAGGCAGGAGATTGAGGACGAGGGGCTGTTCGAGGTGGAGAAGGGGGGGGGGGTATACAGCAGAACAATATGTAATGGTGGTGCGGTTACGCGTTAGCGTTATGATTTAGGTTTGGGTTGGGGGTGATGGTTTGGTTCGCACGATTTTGTGGCGCTGCAGACGAGCACCTCGATCGTTGTCGGTGACCCGTGCGTACGCAAGCAAGGGAAAAACTTGAAGAGGAGGCAAGGAAATGAAAAAAGCATGTGTCGGGTTGTCGAGTTGTCTCAACCACAGTCTCGCGGGAATAACCGAAAGGCTGGCGAAGACGGCTTTGAGAGGGCAAGCACGGAGAATGAACGCGCGCTGTCTTCAGGAGAGACCATAAATTAGAAGGGACACCCAATGGTGTTGAGGCTCATTCGGGTGTGCGTGCATACTTCACGAAAAAGTGACGGCCGTGAACGAGCTGGCCGTTCCCCCCAAGCCCTGGCTTTCACCTTGACCCCACCCCGCCTTCATCCCCGACACGTGCCACTCACAGATCGATCCATGGTTTTTCATCAAGAGATACATCGTTCTGCTGCCGATCCTAGCGCTCGGCGCCTACATCGTTATCACGTATCGCGGCTGCACGGGAATACAGCTCTGTGGGGCTGCTCTCGTGGGTTTCTATTGGCAGCAACTGGCGTTCTTGGGCCACGATGCCGGGCACCGCAGCCACACAGTTGACCGGGGTGAGGGTTCGTACTGCCGTTTATTGTTATTTTGTTTTGGGGGACATCACCTGTATGTATCAGTGGGCTGATACCTGTTCAACCACGTGTTTGGCCTACATAGCCTCGCGTCTTATATTCCCGTATGACGGCGGAGGATAGCAATGAGTCGCAAGGGCCATGCGGTTTGGACAAACATCGGCGGTCAAACCGTGGCCGGTGAATATATAAATGTGGCTTCTTGAGCTTCTTTCGTTCGTTCGACTTTCGAAAAGTGAACCACACTAGGATAGAAACCCACCCCTTCAGGGATTTTTTTTTCTGCTGTGCCATCAACACCCGTTCCGCGAAGCTGAAAATTTCTGAACACGGAAGCCCGCATGTTCCCCCCTTCAGACCATTGAAGAACCCGGGCGCTCACCACACGGCGGTTACATTGTCGCCGTCTGTCGTGTTTTTCCCGCCTCACAGCCTCGGACGACTTCACGGCGTACTGCCTTATCCTTCCCCTTCTCGGGATCGGTCCGCAATGGTGGATTGACTCCCACAACATCCACCACGTCGTGTGCAACGATGTACACTGCGGTGAGCTGGTGTCTTTTCCTGAGACGGCGAAACGTAGAGTGTGGTACCGTCGGATACCGTACGGCAGTAATCTGTGTTGCATTCCTTTTTATTTTACCCCGAAGTGATCCGGACACCCCGGTCCTACCGCCGTACGTGGCGGGTTCGCTCTGGTGTGAGCCTGACACATTACGGCTTATCTCGCACTCATGATTTAGGGGAATCGAGAATATGTTCATCGCTCAAATCATCTTATCGAATTTTGGCGTATTTACGAATATGGTCCGAATAGAACTGCCTGTGTGTGCTTGTGTGTGTTTTCGTCCAATTTATCGTGGCGTCTCATGCATAGCAAGAACTTTGATCCAGATTCAACAATAATACAGAATGTGTCGTCGTGTCTGACCTCTCTTACGCTTTCGAACCATCGACGAACCCTTTTCTCCTGCTCGTCGCTAGACCCGGACATCCAGCATCTCCCGTTCATGGCGATTTCGCCCAAGTTCTTCGCCTCGTTGTACTCGGTGTACCACGACAAGATCATGGTCTACGACTTCCTTGGTCGGTGCCTTGTGTCCGTGCAGCACCTTCTTTTCTACCCCCTCATGTGAGCAGCATGCGGGACGCTGCCGCCCTCTGATTGGTGTACCCACCTTTTGCCGTATCGTCAGAGATGAGAAGGTCATGGGCCGTTTCGGGCGCCCGCGCCCTTGTCTCGTGTACATATTAGGTCGACGCCTGTCGACTTTTTCGTGCTTCGCCAGAACTAGAAACGTATGATCTGTTCCGTCGTGTGGGTCGGCGTATTCTGTGGGTGCATCTCACGCGTTTCCTGTGTCCCGTGTAACGTGTTTGGCGGAGGGTCCACCACATTGTATGTTTCTCTCGTGTGAGATCGAATAGTTGCCACCTTTCTGAGTGTAGGGCACTGTTTTTGGCACGGATTGTGTTTTGTGCGTCTTTTGTGCTCCCTCATGTCATCGTTTTTTGGTATGGCACAGCAGTGCAGTGTGTTTTTCCCCGACCAGAGAGTTGCCGGCCTTGGCTCTTCCGCGGTCTCCGACCTCGTATCCCCGGCTCCTCGCCTGCCGCTGTGAGGTTTGTCCACAGCTCTCTCAACTCTATTTTACTTTCTTGCCGGGATTGCGAGCAATGCTGAACAGTGCCTGCACCGTTCACCGCACCCCTCGTTAGCCTCTGGCCCTCTTGCGTGGCTTCCACCGGCGATCGAAACCTTGTCCTGTTCACGTCGCGCCCCAATTGCCTCGACAGGTGCGTGAGCCGAACCTTCCTGTACGTCCAGTCCATCGTGTTCGTTCTCGCAAAGGCCAGGGCCAAGAAGAGGGTGCACGAGCTGCTCTCGTACGTTATCTTCTTCTGCTGGAACGCCTACCTCTGCAGCCACTTGCAGGTAGGTCAGGGAAAAAGGTATCTGCCCTGTGCCTGGGCGGGATGCATTCAAGTGTTTCGGTCCTCGCCATCGTTTGGTCTTTTTTTTTCGACAAGTTCCGGTACATCAGGTGGTACGCGTTTGAGAACGGAGCATTGTAGTTCTCTGCGGGTTCGTGGGGGGGAGGATGGGCGGTTGAGGAACATACCGCCACCTCTTGATACTTTCTCGTTCCGGCAAACTCGCGGCTTGTTCCACAGTGAAATTGATACCCACAGCACGAAGGCTCATGACATTGCACCGTGTTACCCCGACCGACCTTGCCCAATAGATGGGTTCGGACAACCGCAGTAGCCCTTGCTGGGCGTTTTCTTGTCGCACTTTGTTTTTGTCGAAACACAGGATATAGTTGAATCGTTGTTCTCAAACTGTCCACTCCTTTAATTGCCGCAGGCTACTCGAAGGACGTGTCGTTCGTGTTGCCAAACGCGCTTAGTCAGCCCCATCACACTAGTACACGCCGTGACGGCGTGGGAGCTTGGCACGTACGTGTCGTCCGATACCCCAATCGCTGCGTTTCCTGCTGCCTTTTATTGTTCGTTTCACTCTGGCGTTCTCCCAGGGTGCTTGGCCACGGGCTTCCTACTTCTTGGTATCCCACGCGGTGTCAGGTATCCTGCACGTCCAGATCACGCTCAGCCACTTCTCGATGGACGTCACGGAGCAGCCTCAGTACCGGTGAGGAGCAATTTCCCGCGTTGCCGCATGCCAGTACCACCACGTGTTGGTAATGTGCTTGGTTGGACGCTGTCGTGCCTTGGACCGGTGTATTCGGAGGCTATCTTTTTTTTATCAACCTGCAGCAGTTATACCAATAATTCGAGATCAATGATGGATAATTGTATTGATGTGATCCGCGGATCTCGAGTGCGTCCAGGTAGCGCTCACGTACCTCAGCAAGAGTTTACTGTCTCAACGCTCACAACGGAATATACGATGCCACCAGCAAGAGGTCAGAAGGCTCATGTACATGTATTTAGAGGAAACGCTGTCCACCTAAAGGTAAATGAAGACGTCCTCGGCGAACATGTAGAGATCATGCTGGCGACGACGTCCTGAAATTTTGCCGTTCCCATCGGCATAGAATGCGGTAGATTATCTCGTCAGTTGAAAGCTACCAGTGTGACTGCTTGGGGATCCCCGTATCAGTGAACGCAAACGTAACAACCGCATGGCTGGCCGCGATGGAGAAGGCACCGGAAAGGCTGAGAAACAAATGTCCTCACGTGCGCGACAAAAACAACGTCACGCAACCTGATCAACGTACCGCCGTACTTGCGGCTAAACCCCGCTTCTTTTGTTTGCCATGTATTCGAAGTAACGATAAGGAAGGGTGGGTGGTGACGCAGCTCAACACGACCTTGGACGTTGACTGCTACCGGTGGATGGACTGGTTCCACGGAGGGCTCCAGTTCCAGGTGCCCGTCCGTTTTCTTATTACATTATAGTTGTTTTTTTCCGATGGCTGTGTCGGGAATGATCGTGCACAAACAGCTCGGCCCAAGTTTGCCACACCGTGATTCCCATAGTCTCACGAGCTTTCTTCGGCGAGGCAGGGGTTATTCTGGTACCGTCAAGTACGCTGGTACTGCTGTAGACCATTTCTCTTGTGGCTGCATTCAAATCATTTCGTGCGCTAATGGGATGGGCCACATTGGCGTTTTGGTTGTTTCGGCGTGTCGACGTTGATCTTGGCCCTGGCGCGGACAAGGAAACCGAGGGAGCCGTTCGGGGAGTCGGTTGGTCACCCTCACAATTCGGTTGGTCATCCTCATGGCCGGTTCGACCGGTGCAGTGTCCTAGGAGTTTCCTCTGTTGTACTACCTCGAGCTACTCATTTTTCTCCGCGAGTGGTATCTGTCGTCGTCACGCTAATGATACAAGATGGTTTAAATAGCTACGCTTCCACAAGGACATCGACTTGCTTCCATGCACCCCCGTCGAGGGATCACCTTGAGACAGACCACTTTAGCACCTGTTCGGTATAACCAAATGCTCTCACAAATTGTGGGCAATCAAAAACACCATGGTTGGGTGGCGACAAACTACGGGCGACCTACGTAATTATTTGCAAACGCAAGGGCCACTTTGGTATGGGCTCCCGCTCCACACAGCTGCTGTGTACTTGTTAATCCTCCTTGACAACCCACGAGTTGTACAGTACTTCACAGCGTTCTCGCTGCACATTGTTGTTCTCACGGATGACCGTTGTTCCCGACCACGGCGGTTCTCTTGTCCTTTCACGTTTGTGCTCGCCGCGAAAAAAATTCTAATTGTTTGTTTGCAGACGCTGCACCACCTCTTCCCCAAGCTGCCGAGGTACAACTTGAGGACGGTCCAGTCGCGCGTCGCTGCCTTGGCCGAAAAGCACGGCCTCACCTACCACCTGTATCCCTTCCTGCAGGCGAACATCAAGACCTACCTTGCGATGAGGGAGACGGGCCGGCAGGTCAGCGCTTTTCGTGTACCATGCATCGTGTTGTTGGTGTTGCGGGTGCGGCGATGATGAAAGTGGACCAATCGTTGCTTGTGCTGCAATGACGCAGCCTTGGGAAACGTCAGGTTGGGGTTAGAGACCAAGTTTGCCAATGTCATGACCCCTGGTCTTACCCTCATCGGTGCTATCTTGCTTTCCTTTCGCGCTGTTCGACAGGCTTGGACTAAACCGAACTTCAAGTTTACGGATTCGATGCTCTACGAAGGAGCTTCATTAGTGGGGTAGAGTGGTCGCGCGGCTAGTGCTCCAAGATCGTTCGATCGGTATATACTTGAAAGGAGCGTCATTAGGGTATCAGTTGACAGTTCGATGAACAGTCCAGAGGGGGGGTCTTGGAGCAGGGGATGAGATACCGTGAGGAAGGTTCCGGATTATTTTCGCCAACGTTTTAAGATATCGCTCTGCAACGCCCGACGCGTCGCGTTTTGGGCATTGGAACAAATCAACGCCGCGCTTTTGACAGCATTCGCGTTTGTTTCAGATCGCCCAAATTTTGGCTTCATGATTTCCTGGTTAGTTTTGGCAAACGATTTGTATCATATCGGGTATGGCACTGTCACTGATTTTCTCAAAACGCATGGTACTGTTTTCTATTTAGTGTGGTGGTTTTCTTCTGGCATCTCACAGATGGGTGTTGGGTTCTTTGTGGTTGTTGTTCCACATTTTTCGATTTGCCTCCGTGTCTGAATTAAGCTTCGATCGTGCAAAAATCCCAGCTGACCTTGTGAAAAGACATCAGGTAGAGACATGAGTCCTCCAGGAATGCACAAAATACAGGACCCGCTTTTGTCAGCTGCACCTCTTTCGCTGCACGTGCGCGTGCTTCATCGCTAGTCGTTCTAGTGAGTGCCTAGGTTAGGGTTCAGACTTTTGAGCTGTGTGAAAAGACAGGGTTTGTGTTCGGCATGATATACCGCTTAGCGACGCTACTGGCGTCATTTTCCAAACCACAACTCCGCTAGAAAAGGGTTGTTCATTGGACGTGAGTCAGGCGTAGAATCGAATCGAATAGTCGCGGGCTTTCCTGAAAGGATGGGTTCTTTTCAGTCATTCAAGATTATCTATGGTTGTCAATTTTGCATCGGTATTTGCTCAATGGGCCAATAGAATTCTTCAAATAGGCCGTTCGGATTTCTCGTCTTGGGTGGAAATCTCGCGATAGCGTGAAATCATATTTTAGCAATTAAACGGTGGTTGTTTACTTTGGCCGCAAGCGTTAGCCGTGCCCTTCACGTGTGATGAGCTACCACGGGGCGCTTCGTGCGCGCACACTTTGCCCTCTCAGATTGCGGATGGCAGCCGCCGACCCTTTGAAATTTGGGGTCCTGTGAATCTGGTGTTCTGCTGATTCGGACGACATGCCAATCAATATCATCCTCGCTTGAAATTTTGCCACTCTTGTTTTTCACGCGTGGTTGTCCGCCACATGTTCTCGATTCTTTGGGTCCTGTTGTATTTTTGTTAAGTGTACAGTTGGCGAGCACTCCCTCTTCGTGCTGAGCGGCTCAGGATATTTTTGCGGTCGCGCCATTGCTCGAATCTTAAGACGGATGGAAGGGATGTTCCGGACCAGTGGCCAGAGACGTGGTGGGGGTTGGGGGTACTCGTACTCATAGTCGTGCATGCCGTAGTCGTAGACATTTGACCGCGCATCCCTGCAAAGCCGGGACGGAGCACGCAAGGTTCTCACCGGACCAGGTGCTCACATCACCAAGCGCGAAGCATCGTGAGGTGTTCGGCGAGTCGCATTAAGGGTACGCGGTATCCTGCGAAGGGTGTTGGGCATCTTGTGCTTAGATGTGGTGGGGCGGGTTCCATTTCGCCTGTATCTGCTGTGCGTGTAAAATGGTGGCTCGTTGAGTCTCTGCAATAATATAATAGCAACATATCGTAAGCTTTCCTCAGCTGGATATTCTTTTGGTCACGTGGATGGCAATGGGTTGACCCGTGTGGACAGGCTGTCCCTTCCCGCTTTCGTTCACAACGTGCGGCTAAAATAGGGCTTTGAGAGCGTAGATTGTACGTTGCTTTCTGTCTGTGGCTGCCTCTTTGGGTAAACAAATCAGAGTGTCGGAATCACTAGACAAAAGCACAAGCCGGTATCTAGAGTATGCCAGGATTCGATTCGACACACGGATTCGACCTTCCGCTACACTTCTCGCACTACTGTACACACGTTGCCGGAACTCCAGCTTCAGACGACGATTTGATGTGTCCTGATAGCTAGTTTCAGCAGGTGGAGACGGCAGGCTGGAACAAATATCATCACTGAGAGCGCCGGTTACACAACTTCCATGCGATCCTTGGCTGAACCGAGGGGTCCTTCTTGAGGGCCGGGAAATTGACCTCTCACTATCAGGCATGTAGTCTGAGGCAGATTTCCTTGTAGTCTAATCTGCAGCTGTTATTTGCACTGTATGACAAGATATCACGGTCTCCTCGCACATTGCATTTACTGAGCACGTGTTCTAACTGTGCCCATGCTACACCAAAAGAAGCGAGGAAATTTGGAACAGACCGCACAATGGCCAAGAGAAGTGCGCTATGTACTGTATCTCTGGAGCCTCGCGCCTAAGTATGGCCTTGGTCCACTTGCGGATGGTTGCCAGAAGTGAACAGATATTGCGTTGTTTCTCGTGTGAAACTGAAGAGGTCGCTACAGCAGTACATGAATCTTCCTGTGTCGTTTCAACGCTGAACGCGAACGCGTACAGGTGAAGATGCCGACTCTCGACTTTTTCCAGAGCACACCTCCTGTGACCAAAGTTTCGTGTGTCTCGTTCTAGTGCGAGTCTTGGTATGGTATGTCCCGCAAATGACGGTGATGTCATGTGGGCTATGCCATGTGATGGCGATGTCATTGGGCTGAACACGCCGCGTTTCGGGGTCCCCGTGGAATGAAATGTGTCTTTGGCAGAAAACGCGAGATTGGGCTCCTTTCGCCGCCACCAGGGAGGCCACAGCACGGAGGACGCATCGTGTAGGGGCAGTTGCGTGTACGTCTAGTCTACACCCTTCGCATGTAAGTATTCCATGTTGCCTGTCAAGGCTTGACATATGTCTGCGGCATACGAAGGCTCGACAACCCTCTACTTTTGCGAACCAAGGAAGAGCCGCAGCGATGAGGTACCGGTACAGTAGACTACGCAATCCTCGTGAGGGTGCATTGGAGTGATGGTGTACCGGACCGAGTGATCTTCTTGATAGCAGTGAACGAAGTGGCATTCTGCCACGCATGAAGTCCGAACGGAAGGACGGGCTGCCATGGCCATCGCCCGTCTGTTGCATTGCCACACGGCGAAGTACGCTGCACTACAAATAAATATAGTGCTGTAGTGAATAATCCCCGCAGTTGTTTGCCTTCGTGCTGTCGCCAGGTTCCTCTCAGAGACACAATACACTGCTGTTTGTGAAACATTCGATGTCATTGCTTCCCGATGCCGCTTACACTAATATGTTGCGATCCGCCGCTGCGTGGAATTTGCTTTCGTGTCTCCGCTTAACCCCCCGCAGATGCTTGCGTACGGACGGTCCCAGCGCACACTTCGCTTCTCCCACCAAGACGAGTTGACCCTCGACCCTCTAGCGGAAATCCAAGAGCAGCTGCCCATAGGGCCATCCGAATCGGGGAAGCTCGTGGGCGTAAACCTCGAGCTTCCCGCCGGGGGGGACAACGAAACAACCCCGTGTTCCATGGAAGCAAAAGGAACGAAGACCACCACGCGGCACAACCTGGCCGCCACCCCGAACCCTTCACAGCTCTTCGAAGCAGATTTAGGCGGCAATACCCGTGGAATAGCCACAGGCATGGAATCTACCGGCGACAGGGGCGGAGGCGGCATCTATGGCGGAGAGCCCGTGATGGCGAGAAAGCGGTTCCGACTGGAAATGGACCTCGGGTCCGACTCGGATAGCTCTACCGAACAAGACGTTTTGCCCCGTAGAGGTCGTTGCGGTCACGATCCCGTTCAAAGTAACCGCAGTGCACCAAAACTCAGACATCAAGTCTCGCCGGCCACTGGACAGCGGCAACACCAACAGCGCGGTGGCATGACGAACAGATACCGGCAGATAGCTCAAGGCCATGATGACGACTCTGACACCGCATTTCGATCGTCGGATTTTAGGACTGGGGAAAACGGCGGTGCCAAGGGGCGGTGGCAAAGGGAGGATGGCAGAGACGCTGGGCGGGGGTGGGGACGGGGAGGGCCGTACCTGGACGATGCTCGAAAAATGATCTGTTCCCAGCCCAAGTTTGTGACGCCAGACCACGCAGGTAATGAATCGCAGAAGGATGCTGAGTTTCACAGGTGTTCCTAGCCTCTTCCAGGCATCACCTGCACTTTGTGACAGTGTCCAAGTAGTCACGCATCCCTATTTGCCAGGGTTACGCAGCATTGGGTTGCACTCAATGGATATTCATTCATTTTGACCAATACGTGCATATTCTAGCTCGTTTTTTACGGCGCGGGTCCGGTAGCAGCACCCATGTTCATTCCACGTACGACACGGCTGGGCTAGAACACGCCCACTCCGATTGACACAGATTCCATCTTAATCCTTGCCTTGACTCAACGTGTTGCTGCCTCCCTTTGCAGAGCCGATGCAGCCACCGCGACTGTCCGTGCCACCTCCTATTTCAAACACCCGGCCGCATATCGCGGTGCAGAACCCCTACAAGCCTTCGGCGCAAGTCACTCCCGACAGTCATTACCAAACAAGATGGGGCACTGCCGAACCCGCTCGGTCTTCGGGAAGTCGGAGTTCACGCTCTTTCTCCCCGGGTGGAGCGTCGGCTGCAAGGAGCGCAGGTGCTTCTGCACAAGAGGCGGGCGGAGGCGATGGCTACGGCAGCTTGCATGGCGCCGGCATGGATAGAAGCAGCGCCCTGAGGAAGATGCCCTCGCTTGTTGGAGTGAAGGATGTCTACCCTCCGGAGCTCAGCAGGTATCACGTTCCTTCCACTTGTCACCCATCACACCAAACCGCATCTGCATCGAATTATTTCCTCGCCGGAAAACTATGAAAATATTGCAGGGAATGATGACATAACAACGAACAACCTTGACGACAAATAGGTTAAACGTTCAAGGTTGGGTTTTCTATCCCAGCTGTACGAACGAACAAGCACAGCCGTGTCGGCGATCACATTCTATTCACTAGATATTGAAACCAAATGAACAATGCATCACGAAAACATTCATGGTTGCCGAATTGGAACGCACGGTGTTGCGTCCATGCTTGTATACCACGCCGAGGACAACGTGTTCTACAGCCGCCTGATCGACTGGATGGAATAGTGCACCACGTTCTGCTGACGAAGAACGGTGTACTACTCTTGTCGCCTACGTCACTTCACGAAAATCACTACTACCTGTCACTGTCGTAGGTAGATTTCACTCATGCACAGTGTCGGGGGTGGTTCGGTCTATATGCGGTCTACATGCACGAACCTTGCATTTCTTCACGCCGTGACGCACGCCATACCCGTACAAAGCAAAAACACGCCCCAGCATAGCGCCGGTTTTCCCCACCTTGTCCTGGCGCTTCCATTTCCGATCAGAATTTGGCCTTTCCAAAACTTCAACGCCATCCAAAGCGCACTGTTCCAGACGGCTGCCGAGAGCGACAAGAACGTGGTCGTCTCGGCGCCGACGGGTTGCGGCAAGGTGGGTTTGGCAACATGCCTAATAGAGGGAAGTCTGTCGCTGCACCAAGGGGGAAAGCTGGTCATTCCCAACCCCACCTCGCGTAGGTGCTTTTGACTCCTACAACGTACGCGCTTCATTCAAAGCGGATTATGAAGAATATGATGCGAACGCCGCTGAAAGCACTTTGTCCTAACAACAATGGCAAGTTTAGCCGTCCAAGGGACATACGGGAGTCAGCACTGGCGGTAGTGTCGTGGTAGCACGATACCGCCTAAACCAGTCTGATGCTTTGGGCTACTACATGGGTAAATAATGACGGTGAAGTCGGCAAGAAGTGCTCGATCCGGAGTCATGGAATCTTTCTGAAGAGTGCAATGCACAACTTGTGCCAGTCTTGTGAATAAGTCACTATGAATTTTCATTGATACGACCGTTCATGAAAGAATAACCCGGAAATTCGGGAGAGCAAACGAACGGTGTGTCTGTCAAAGATTCAGACTTACGTGAAGTCGTATTTTATTCACCACCTGTTGTTGGGCATGCCAAACTTCACTCTTGATTGAGCAATCACCTTGACAGGCTGGGTCAGCGACTGCCATCACTCTTCTCCCATGCCATCGAGAGACGCTCAACACCGTTCAATAACGTTGTGAGGAAACTCCCGTTCATTTCACGACAGTCAGTCGCCGCCGATCAAGTGGATGCATGTGCACACTACGGTATTCACCAACGCATTTCACTCGTTCGTCTTTGTCTTGGTGCTTGTAATGCCATGATGGTTCAAGACGGTTGTGTTAGAAATGGCGATCGCTCGGCTTTGGCAAGAGTCTGGCGACACCCTCGGCAACCGCAAGGTCATCTACATCTCTCCCATGAAAGTGAGTTCTTTGGATTGTGGCTTCGGACGGGAATATTAAGTGAATCCTGTGTGCGGCAATTACTTCTTGGTTATCATGCGACGCAAACCCTTGTTTTCACAGTTCGAGAGAAGGTCATTCGTGGAGAGCCAGTGAGGTTGTTAGAATTACTGTCATTGTTACGTCAACGGAGGGACAAATTGATACTTGTCATTGATGATATGACAAGGGTATGAGACGAAAGAGACATGAGTACGAAAAATAAAGGTCCTTGGAAGACAGATGGTCCTGGTGGTGTGAAAACACTCACTGTATCTGCCAACTGGTTACAATCTATTGCCCTCGTAGGAGATATGGAGAGGGTGCTTTGGACCCTGAGAATGTCAAGTAGAAGGTCAGTCCGAGAACGAACAGATTGGATAACACTTTCCTCACTTCACCCCAACAAGTTCCCAACCGTTTCCACCATCTCCGCTATACCTGCAAACATGGTTCAAATGTTGTGGCGATTTTATTGTGCCGTTCCCGGCCGAGGTCAAACGAACCGTTCACTCCGGCTCAATGTTTATATATTTTCCCGGTGCAAGTCAATCCGCAACGCATTTCAACCCGAAGAATTTCAGATTTTTCAACATTTGACATAGAACATTGGGTTCTTAACTGCTTACTCAGAGCACGAAGTATTTGGTTTTCCTTGTGGGCTTTTTTCTCACACCCTTCCTTACAGGCCCTCTGTCAGCAAACGTTGGACGACTGGACCGCCAAGTTCTCACCACTGGGAATACGACTAGCCGAGCTCACCAGCGATTCCACCTCCGGTCCCTCCAAGGGCTCGGTGTCCCTCCGAGACCTGGCGTCGGCGGACGTTATCCTCACCACGCCGGAAAAGTGGGACAGCATCACCAGACGTTGGAAGGAGCACGCGTTCTTGGTGTGTACCGTTCTGCAAAACATTGAATATGAAATCGAGTTCATTAATATTCTCCACGGCTACATTGGGAGCTGCGCCTGTACATACTGCGTGAATGACGTATGTGAGGCAAGTCGTCACAACCTCGTTCAGCATGAGAGCTCACATTATATCCAAGCTAAGCTCCGTCTTTGTGACGGCATCCAGGTCCTTGAAAGTGGACTGAAATCGCTCTCGAATCTGGGAAGAAGTTCAAGAGCAATCACTCCTTGGAGATAGTTGATTCGAGACTGGCTCATCATTTAAGACACGTCGTGCTGACGCGATATTATTGTGTACATCACCGAGATACAACAAAAAACACCCAATCAAACGCATGTCGCTGAAACATTGACCCTTCACTTCTTTGACGTCGTCCAGGCGTGCCTCAGTGCTACTGCTGTCGTATTGGCTGGGTCTACGTTGGTTGCGTCTGAGAACACCCCAACAATTAAGCAGTGTTGTCAAATACATGTAGTTCAAAAACTTCTCAATAAGACGGCCTGTCTACGTGCATTGAAACGGAACATGGCAAGGTCGGCACGGTGGCGCTCGTCTTAGTCGACGAAGTTCACACGATCGGAGAGGAGAGAGGTGCCACACTGGAAGTGATCCTGACTCGAATGAAGATGGTATCGCGATCTACGGAGGTATGAAATACTCCACCACCGCTTGTTTGTTGGAGAGGGGTGGTGTTACAGAATGAATAGACGTTTGTGCTCGCGTTGTCGACGTTGTTGTTTGCACGGGACGGAGTTGAAACAAACAGTATGCCCTATTTTTAGGCCCACCTGCCGTGTGTACAACGCCTGGCCACCAACAACAACAACAATGTCATCGCCACCTACATGGCGCCACCTCGGGAGACACCTTCAGAGAAGTTGCCTCATTAACTGGATCAACCTAGGAAGAACATGTGTCCTAAGCTATGCGAAGGGGTCGCTGCAGGTTGGCACTAAATTCTCCTTCAGCCGACACGTGCCTGGACCAGCTGACCTCTTCTCTTTGGTCCTCGATCTCCCTTCCCGCGACACCCCGCGAAGCTATCTTCGGGAATATGTCTTTTCCGGAGAGAATGAGACTGGTGATGGGTGCAACAGCGCAAAACAAAAGCCACGAAATTTCTCTTGATCGATACAAGCAGGTGGTCTCCATGGGCCTTCCCGCGTCGCGGATGCGCTTCATTGCGCTGTCTGCGACGCTTCCCAACGCCGACGATTTCGGTTCATTCCTTGGAGCTGAGGTGTTCCGGTTTGGAGATGAGTTCAGGCCGGTCCCTCTCCAGGTACGCTATCGATGGCATGGTTCGTGTTGCTGTTGTGTCTTCCATCGTGAAAGCCGTTCGGTCTTGCTATCGTAACCAGACAAACGGACGGACGTTATCCGTGGTCACAGCCCAACTACTCAGCAAGGGTATTTCTAAAAGTGCACGACGACGTATTGTCCAGATGGCACACAAAACCAATTGCAAACGCTGTACAATAAGTGAAATAAAATAATGAGGAGTGACTCAACCACCCGACACGGCAGTGCAGCAGGCCATGTGAACGGCGCTCGAAAGGTACGGAAGATACGCACCCGGAACGTAAGTTGAGATGGTGCTTTCTCCCGACATTTGCACGCCAGTGCTCGGGGCATGCTCCGAAGTGATGGGAGTTCAATCCAATCACCAAGAAGCTAGTACACAACATTATTCGTGCAGTTGCGGCAACAGCTGCAAGCTCCTGAAACATGAGAATCGCAACCGTTGCTTCAGACCCGTACGCATCCGCAGTACACGCAAACTCAAGCCGGACGAGATATGACCCTAGTATATACGTGGGGCTAGTCGTAAACGGACCGATGACAGTCTACGCCTGGAATATTGCACGTCATACTTCATTTCCGGCCATGCGTCTATCACGGTTTCTTTTCAGACGCACGTGGCCGGCTATCCCTCCGGCAGCAACCCGTTCCTCTTTGACCGGGGACTCAACAATCGTGTCGCTGGAACTGTTGCGAGGTATGATAATGAATAAACCCGGTAATTTTGTCTTCCAGCCTTGACATCTGCTGTTGATGTGTCACGTAGACAACTTTTTTGCCTGTTTCCTTATGACGATGTCTTTCTCAGTATCTAGGTCTAAGTGGTCAAAGGAACGGGATTGTTTCCTATTCTTCGTGAAGAATAAGACCATACTCATCGGAATCTGTAAAACAGAGTCCACGATGGCAAACGCCGAATAGTGTTTTCGTTGTTTCCAAACGAACTGAGCTATCTACCGCTATCATATCCTAACCTGCTCAAGGTACTCGAACGGGAAGCCGTCTTTGGTGTTCTGTGGTAGCAAGAAGGACACCGAGACGGTCGCAAGCTCCCTGGCCAAAGGGACGGATTACGCCAGAAGGACGGGCTCCCAGGCAAGGAAGTTATGAATTACTTGCTCTAGTGCCGAATTTTTTCTCCAGAGGCCCCATATGAATTTATTTGGATCTGCAGGCTTCTGTAGGCAGCGACTAGTATAGTTTGTCCTCCACCTCTAAAAAGACTACCCTTTCCACACAGGTGGTCATGCAGTACCTAGCGACTGCAGCGAACACGGCCGAGGACCCGCAGTTGGCCAAACTAATGATCAGGGGCGTGGCGATCCACAACTCGGGACTTTCTCCCCGCGACCGCGGGCTTGTGGAAAGGGCGTTCCTGTCCGGCAGGTTGTACGGATGGTTGGGATGAAGTGAACAACAAACGACTTCAACAGAGTGTCGTGAATGATGAAAAGTGCGGATAAGACGACAGCTTTCGTTCGGGTGTCGATCCAAGCCGAGGTGCTTGAGAGTTTGAAATCATGTTCACAGCTGTACGACACGGGTGTATCCTGTCATGGGGAGGATTTCAAAGTGTCAAGCGATTTATGTCGCCAGCCGCAGGTTTTTCTTCAAATGATTGTCTGCCATCGATCATCCTAATAGGACCAGGGTGTGAATGAAATTCCAAGGTGGTTCAGCTCATGTGCTTGTCAAACGAATAAACGGAAGGTTTTCAAAGATATTTGAACATTGCGGCGGCATGACTGAAGTTTCGTTTTTAACCCAACTAGTCAAATCCTGTTCACCTCTTCATCCATGCCTGAATGAATCACGTCACGATGCTTTGCCTTGCCCCCCTGTCTGTTGCTCATTCTGTACCTCGTCAGCCTCGCCGTGCTTGTCGCGACAACTACGCTTGCCATGGGTGTGAACCTTCCCGCGAGGCTGGTTGTGATCAAGGGGACAAACCAGTACCGAGGGGCACAAGGGTACAAGGAGATGTCCAGGTAAGGATTCCATACCGGAATTCAAAGGATTCATTCGTGATGGCTCGCGAGAGAGAAGCTGGTCGGTCGAACCGCAAAAGATTAATGAAACGCAATGGGTGACATCACCAACAAACGCACGGGTAGAGCACGGCGCGAAGGAACAAGTAGCAGCGTTTGAGTCCTGCGTAGCCATATTTCCTCTCTGAATAAACAATCCCACGGACGTATCAACTTCAACGCAAGATTGGCTTACATTTCATTCAAGCATGTTTTACACTCACAGCAGCATCTGCGATGGTACGTACGCTGGTTTAGAGCACTTATTGTGATTGGTCCCTTGATTAAGTGCAACCCCTTCTGTGAGAATGAGCGAGCTGGGTTTTGAGACGGAACACGACATACCTCTTATACCTTAGCCGCGGTCAATAGGAATTTCGAACCGAACTCGCAAGCAATATCAACCTTGAACGGACAGCTTGACTTACTACCGACGTTGCTTGCCCCCATCCCGTCGTCAAGGTCGGCCATCCTGCAGATGATCGGAAGAGCTGGACGCCAGGGGTTCGACAGCAGCGGCGTGGCGGTAATCATGACTTCAGAGGTGATCATGGTCGTTCCTCTACGGTTTCCCTTAGTTTGCTTATCAGGATTCAGTTTGCCAGACCGTATAGACGGTCGTAGCGATCGCGATGACAAACCGATTGAAAGGCGCGAAAGAATGGTTCTGGCGACAGTTCTATACTGGCAGTCGGTAAACAAGGCGAGTAGATACATCTTATCTGAAAACAAATTGGACTTGGTACATGCATGTGCGTTAGGGGGGAGCCGAATTTGGTTAGCCGACACTGTTATCGGAGTACGACCAACAAACAACCAACAATGAACGAATGTTGTTGAGGCGTTCTTCAATGTTGTCCCGGTTGGCTCGTTCCGCACGTTTAGCACCCTAAGACCTTGCTTTTGTTCTCGGCCAACAGTGCCATTGAGTCATTGCTTATCTCACCCCAACTACAGAGCAACAAGAAGGCCCTGGAGCGCCTTAGCGCAGGGCAGGAGGCAGTCGAGAGCTCCCTCCAAGCGAGGCTTCTCGAGGCGCTCAACTCGGAGGTCTGTGTGTGAACAACGTGTGACAAGAGCAACTTAGCTGGTTTCCCTCGTGACTTTGGGCGTGGAAGGTGGCACATCCATCTACCGAAGCAGTCGAATCGCTCCAAATAATGCCACACCACGTACAGGTGCCTGTTGCCGTAGGTCAGAACGTGGCATTGTCATCCCGTTCAAGCTCATCGCCTAAGTCTTACCACTGTCCCTGTGACCCATTGTTTATGTCGACAATCGTGGAGCGTCTCACTCCTGTCCATGGCCACGCATCGTGGTTTTTTGTTCCGAGCATTTCAAAACGTACAGACGTAGTTTGCGATAGCAGCCTCCGGCGGATATGCAGTGAAAATGAGTCGATGGCTGCGTACCTCTACTTGATTCGCGAACATCCACCCAAATCAGTCAAACATGTTTTTCGACCGTGAATTTCTGTGATCGGTGTCTCTGTATTCAAGGTGTGCCAGGGAGAAACCATTCACGACGTCGGCGAGGCCATCGAGTGGCTCAGAAGGTATCTGAATTTAACTTAAGTAAGCCCCGATTCTGATTGCTCACAGAACCCTTCGTATTTCGGTGATAGATCCTGACAACCGGAACTACTCCTTTCCGCGGCGAGATATCACCGAGTTGGCAATACCAACTCATACCATTGAAGCTATCGCAACAGAATTGCACCTTGAAAAGGGAAGATTTTGGTGATCACAATGGGAATTGCGGAGCGTGGCCTCGTTCGTGGTCGCTCGTGCAATATTGCGGAAGGGACGGGTTCGACCTCGCCAAACTGGCCCTCACGCAGCGCCGAAAAGGACATTTTTTCAGCAGATGGCCTTGTACCATTGCACCATGTCTTACAGTAATCTGGGCATCCAAACGGCACATCGCAGACCGCACGCAAGTGCACAGCGCGCACGAAGCTTCCCTGTACAGTTTTTGTCGCCAATGACATCTGGCAAGGCCACAACCATGCAACATGAAAAACGCACCGCCCTTACCGTCTCAACTCCCCCCCGACCCCTTTTCCTCTAACCGATTCCCTCCCCCCGTGAACAATATGGGCACAATGACGCCTTCCACGCTTTCGTGGGTGAGGGAAGCACCTTCTACTTCATCCGCTGCCAGCAGAACCCGTCTTTCTACGGGCTCCCCACAGGTCTTGCCGCCGGAGGCCTCTACGGCCACATGCAGACCACCTGTCTGGACAGCTTGAAGCAGGCGAGTTCGTTGACAGTTTTCCCACAAGTACGGGAGGCGAGAGCATGAAGTAATATATGCAATAAGGTGTGTGATCTAGCGATGTCCTCAATTGATGCTGTCGTCCGAATGATACCGGGAAGAACGGGTTACCTTCTGAAAAGCGAGACGTAGGAAAATCAAGGCCACGCTGTGAATGCAGGAGGCCAGGTAGACACTGGGTGTGGGCTCCGTGCCACCAACTGTACCCAATATGGAACAGATAAGGACCGCCGGAAGTGCTGTGCTGCGCTACGGGTAAAGTTACAAAGAAACGGCTCAAGAATTCCCCCGCTCTAGGGACTATACGAGACCTCCTGAACACAAAACCGTCAAGCCGTTGCCACGGGTCCATTCTCGCTTGAATTGTTTGCCGGCCGGCACTTCTGACCCATCCAATACCCGCTGCTTGATATTGTTGGGACGGTTGTCGCGGACAACGACCAGATTGCCTGGATTAGTCCTTTTTCACGAGCCCCGACTCGTGGTGATCCCCGGCATCGAGGCTCGTTTCAGCGTAGTTGCCCAAGCCTTTCAAAACTAGGCATGAAGCGAGTGCTTTGCGAACAACCATGTGCTCTTTGGTGGTGGGAGGGTTGTCGCCGACCAAATGCATCATCAACTACTGTAGGTTTGAAGCGGATACTTCCATTTCGTTGTTTCGAGCCATGTTTGTCTTGCCCTACAATCTCAGGCTCTCGTGTTGAATATACGCGTCCTCGTAACCTTGCAATCGCTCGTGTTCGCCTCAGCTGCGGGATGCCGGAGTAATCGCCATGGACGAGGACGAGTTCTCCGTCCAACCGACCCCTCACGGCATTCTGTTCAGCCGTTTCATGGTTCGCTTTGAGTCCATGAAGGCCATCCTGGAGGTTTCCGAGAACCACGGAACCCGGTCAGTGTTCCAAAAGGGGGATCTTGGGTCACAGAGTCGGTTGATTGGTGTTTGTGAGCATGCGGGGGGGCTCTCCCACACTTTCTACAGTTTTGCTAGAACGCTCATGGGCACCACATGGGCGACCAATGAGAGCCCTTCAACCTTAACCACTTTACTCCTAAACAAACGCTTCTCTGCATTGGAACGGGCATTGTAGCGGTTAATAACCCGAACGCTAACGCTAACGCTAACCCCAACCCTAACCCCAACCCCATACGATACGTGCTAGGTTGGCGCTGGTGGCTAAGTTCTAGGTATAAGTGCCCATGAGCGGCCCACGGGTGACCCATGGGTGGGGCGGTATAGCAGAACTGTCCGTAGTGTGGGAGATTGTGCGGGGGCAGCGGGGTGCTTCTTCATCTCTGGCGCGTATGCTCTCTATCGCTATGTACTAATCTCAATTGGTGGGGCTTGTTTTGGGGTTGGGGATGGAATTTGGGTACCTTGAAGATTCAACGCTTTGGGACACAGAGGTGTGCTAGAATACACTGCTTCGCTCGTCTGTGCTTCTCTTTCAGGGACATCCTGCGAGTGTGTGCCGAGTGCGACGAGGTCAACGTCCCACTACGACGGGCAGAGAAGCGCTTCCTGAACGACCTGAACCAAAAAGTTCGATACCCGCCGCCAAAGAAGGAGGTGGTGCGGACGCCAGCAGACAAAGTGAGAACAGGAGAAAGATTGGCCGGATGTGCCTCTGCTACCGCTGCTGATTTTTTTCTATTTTTGCTTATTCTCATAATGGTTTTGCGAAGGAGTTTTTTAACAATCCAATGTTCCGCGGGATGATCGAAACGTTTTTCCTCAAGACAGCTCCAGGAGTGCATCGTCCAAACCACTGTGGAAGCCGTTTCCACGTTTAACCGATCCTATACTCATCGAACCCGCCTGGGATCGTCGCCGTCCTCGCGAGCGCAATCTAGGCCCTGGTTCTCCTCCAAGCTGCGCTCGGAGGCCTTCACCTCGATGACTGGACCTTGAGGGGCGAACAGACCGCCATGCTCGACACGTCCGCGAGGCTGCTCGGCTGCTGTGCGGAGTCGCTCGCGGTCGCCGGCAGGGGCGGGGGGTTGGGCTGCGCCGTGTCCCTACGGCTCATGCGCTCAGTCCGCCTCAGGCTGTGGATGGATGCCGAGGTGATATGTGTGGCGTTTTTGTTGGTGTTGTTGCTGTTGGTGGTGGTGATGGTGTTCGAGAGTATTCATACATCGTTTGAGATAAGCCAAAATGGTGGTGTTGGTGGTGTTGGTGGCTTTTTGGTGCAAGATGAGAAGGGAATTGTTTTTTTGTGACATGTACCAGAAACGTGCATTGTGCCCCGCTGAAATGCATTGTCTTGACCGAGAGTACCCAAGTGTTCCGTGTCGCTTTGGATGAGTTGTAGGCTGACCAGCGGCTAGGGCAAGCATCGAAGAAGTATTGACGCCTCCTCCGCCGCTAGATATCCAAGACGACGTGGTGGCTAGTGTCTATTTCTCCAGAGCGAGAGACACAGATCACCTCACTTGTACAGAGCGCCCGGACGTCGCCGATGTTGCCGGCCTGTAGTGGGAGCACTCCTGTCGTCCCGAGACGAACGAAAAGCAACTGAACGAGACCCCCCCCCTGCCTCGCCCTGCCTTGTACCAATCTTGTCGCCACCTGTTGCGGCTATCTCGCATGTAAACGACCAGCGAGGGCAACTAAAGCAGCTTCCCGGGGTGGGTGATACCATGAGCGGGCGTCTGGAGGCTAGTGGGATCATCACGCTCACCGATTTAGGCCGTTCGACTTCGGTCAACGTCGACGCCATCACCGGTCGCAAGCACCCGTTCGGAAACGGTAGGGTCGACTTCTTGTCTTGACGGCTGGCCTGTTTCGGTGCAAAAACAATCGAACAAACAAGTGATGAACGCGAGGAGCCCCACGAAAGATTGAGCTAAAGTCCCTACATACGAAGTTGCAACCTATTTTCGCTCTAGGCGACTTCATTATTCGTCCGACCGCCTCTCTGTCCGAAACCGCGACCAAAAGCGATGAAACAATAAGCTCAAGACGAATGTCCAGAAGGAAGTTGCGCACACGGGTGTCCACCAACGCACTCTGTGAGGCAGGCCCGATCGTACCAGGTGGACACAGAAGACCTGTCGTACTCTCGTGCCGACAGCAACGCTAGTCTCTTTTTTTACTAGCCTCTTGATATACGGAATTTCAGCACCATGTTCATTTTCCAACTCCAACAAACTGTTCCTCGGTTCCCTCTTGATACCCTTTTGGTGCACGCCTCGGTAGCACGGTAACAGGAAATACTTGAAATATGTTGGGTCCCTTTGATCCCTTCGCCGCGACCACATTTTCTGCCAAAACAGCTCGTGCAATGTTGTTACGTGAGACATGGCTTCCTTGCTGTTGGTCAACCCTGAACCTCACAGGCATTCGCCACGCCGCTCTACAGCTGCTGTCGAGGGCCCTGACAGCCAGCGTGTCGCGTCGGCAGATGGGTGACGGGAGGCAGGAACTGCAGGTGATCAAGCCAGTTCCGGCCCAATTCTGCGGCAACTAGGGCAGTGGAGTTGAAGCCTCAACAACCGACATGTCGAGCCAGTGCCACAGCTCTGAAAAATAGAAATTGATGGGGTGGGTGGGGCGACATGGAATAGTTTGTGTACTGCGTGAACAATTTGCCACCTACGTTATTGTAGGCCGACGCATACGTACGCGTCGTTGTCTGCGTTGCACTGTTGGCTGAGAACGGCCGGTGGACACTTGCAATTACTCTTTGGGTTTGTTGCGGTTTCTCGGTCAGGTTCGAGTCGAACCGGCGTTCCAGACAACGGACCCATTCTCCGACGGATACATTGAGCCCCCCGATGATGCATATGCCCCCCCACCGACTGGCTGGAGGCGGAATGACACCAACTTCCAACTTGTCGTGTACCACGACGGCCAGGTGTTGTTCAGCATTGTATACTGTCGATGGTACAGACGATACGTCTTGGTTGTCACTGTTGAAATTGTAGCGGTGGTGTGGTGGTGTTGGATGCTTTCGTGGCGGTGGCTGTGAGATGTGTTGTTTTCTCATTAGGTATTCATGTCTTGATTCTCCACGTAGTGCTTTCTTCGACCTTCTCAGCACTGATTAATCCAGCGAGAGCGGACTTACGCAGTTGATGGTGCTATCGATGTCGTTAATATCGAGGGAGGGCGTAGGTGGACTTTTTGCAAGCCTTTCGTCGGTCGTTCTGAATGGCTGCGCCAGGTCTACTCTCTAAGCCATCGGCAGGGAGCTTGGTAGGCTACAAGTCAAATAAAATCTGCCTCTCAACTGAACCGTCGGGTTCATGTCATGGGACTTGCACCACCGAATAGAACACAAAGCAACGAGGGGTCTATCTCGATGTGTGTTCGTTGTCACAACGTAGGAGCGCAGGTACGTGGGCGAAATCTTATTAACGCGTCCGGACATTATTATTCGGATGACGCGGCAAGGTCAGGTACTTGACTCCCTGCGTCCCACCTCTGTGGCGACGCGAAGAACGATGGTCTGGAGGCCTTTGCCATGCTTTGCGCACCCCCCACGCCCTTGTCCTTTCGTGCGTGGCTCTTCAGGAAGCGGTTGAAGGTGGCGATGCGCAGGCGTCAAAAGGTTCCGACGGGAAAGATGGGGCGGTGGCGGAAGCGAAACCGACTCTTTCGGGTTCTGCCGGCAGTTTTTCGGATCCTTCTTTCCACACAGTGAGTGGGAAGATGTTAGAGGAATATTGGCTGTTTTCACCTGTCGCTCAATCTCTTCGGGCCGGAGCAGTTGGAAACATGTGTCGTACCAAATCAAACAGGTTGTACCTGGTGTAATCATGACTGGGTTGATCGTTTTCGACGACCTTGTCGTGCTCGTGACGTATGCCACTTCGGTAATCATGCTCTCCGCACGACGTGCGCATGCTCACGTAGCAGGAAGCCCTTGTCTTTGGATGAGGGCTTCATGCGATAGGGATTTAGGTGTCGAGTTACAGTGTAGTTGCCCCTTACTAACGCTTTGCCACACACCTTGCCGTGCGGGTTGGGGCCGACCGGCCGCGGCTACAACAGGAATCGCCTTCATCATCCTCGCCTCTGATGCTCTTCCGCAAGATCAATAGGGAGGGCATACACAGCGCCACCCTCCCTGTCGAGGCCATCGAGAAGGACGTTACTATTCACCTCTGGCTCATCTGCTCCGGGGTATGCGGCATGGACGTTGCAGATGTCAGGTGATGGGGCCATGACAACAACATAGATCTCTGTTTTAGGTTTCTCATCTCCCCTCGAGAATGTTCCGGCGGTAACCGTGTCGCTATCTTGTCTCTGTGTGATATAAAGGTGGACAGGGTTATCTACCAATAGTGTTGAATTAATAACGTCTTGTATGATTCCATAGGTCGTGTGTGCGAGTCTGTGTGCGTGTGTGTGATGCTAGTTTACTTCCCCGAACATTAGCGCAACGCAGCCAAGCAAACCAAGTCACAACATTCGCTTCATTTCGCCAGCTTTTCATCTACACGACTCGCTTTCCCGGAGCGGATGCAATACGCCCTCCCCGTTTCGCCTAGGTTTGGTGCAATCATTAACGTGCACACGTTTTGTCTGGCCATAGACGACATCGCACAAACCACTGAATACATCTTTTTTCACCTTTATAGGATACCTATGCCTACCTGGGATACCTTCATACCCGAGCTTTGTGTTGTGTTATTATTATTTTGTTTGCCTTCCGACAATTGCAGATGTACCTCAGAAAACTTTCACTTCGTGTCTCATACTCTACATGAAGATTAAACCAATACGAAGTACAACAACATATGTAGGACTAATTTCTACTGTCACTTACATCGTAAAAAAATCTCCTCTTCAATTTGAAATAAAACCAATAACAATCCTCATGGTATCCTACGTGCGTTCGTAAGCTTGCTAAAATACTACTGCGTTGATGTCCTCTTGGAAAAGCTGAAATCCAACAAATGCTTTGATCCATGCTACATCTCCGTGTTGGAAAAGCCCTTTCTTATCCGTTCATGATAACATCTTGCCCTATTCTACGCAAATCTGTCACATCTACTCTCAAACAAGACGCCAACTTCAAACGAAAACGCGTTCTACGATGCATCTACACTCCATCCCCATATCATTGGCGTTGACTGGTTCGAGGTCGATCTTGTTTGCCTGTTTTCGGCGTCTTGACGCCCGCGCAATGCGAGCTTGTACCCCTGCACTCGCCGAGATATGGCCACCTGTGTAGCCACATGTATTTCTTCGCCCAACAAACACTTGCAGGATAAAGCCATCCAGCCTAGACAGCCGTTTCGCGAGCGTAGCGGATCTTCGTGCGATGTGGTCACAGAACGCGCGGCGTTCGGAAAACCAGGACGCCCAGAACGAGGAGGTAAGAGACAGAAAAGCAAACACAACGCCTTCTTCTGTGCAACGCGCGCCGTGTTCCGCATAGACTATATGTTGTATCGGAGAAAATAATGAGTCTGTGTGAAGGAAATCTCTTCCTTCAGCTTCCACGGCGGGCCTCTAGCTCGTCCTCGTACAATCTTTGACTGTGTTTTCAACAAGTTCAATGTTCACACCGAAGTGACGTTTCCCGCCCAAGCCCGGTCCAAGGCAGTCACTGAATTCCTCCTTCGCAGCCACGTTCTGGGATGTACGAATACAACACCTCGCCCTTCAAACCCGATCTCGCCTACCCACTACCCCCCACTCTTCCAGCTTGTCAGGGATGCTCACAACCGTTCTATCCCGCTTGCTACACACGGCGCAATTTCGCCACTCGCTGGACGGGTTTTCCACAGGATGAGGCGGACCCGGTAGATGGGTCGACACCTGCCTCGAACAGGGCAGGCTGGTCGGACTGGGAAACGAGCGACAAAATCACCCGGAAGAAACCGGCGGGCGGAAATTCTACGGGCGAGAGGGGGAGCTCTGGGGCCAAGAGAGGCAGGGGTGGAAAGAGCGGTGGTGCCGGTGCTGGCCGCGGGAAAGGGAAGGGAAGAGGGAAAGGGCGGGCTGGTGTTGGCATTGGGTCAGAAGGCGAGCGGCAGCTGGACCTGGCGTCGTCGTTCAAGGCCGGGGCGCTGTCTGAGTCTACCAGGCAAGGCAACACGCTGATCTGGCTTGCATGGGGATGGGCTGCTGAATACTGCCACTTTGTTGCGGGTGGTATTGATGGCTGTCGCTTCTGGCGTCGTCATTGGTGCTGGATTTGCTGTATCGTTGATGACGATGTACAGTAGGTGTCAGTTATTGGGATATCAGCAATGGTGTTTGTTTCCTGTTTCTTGCGGCTTGTGGTGGTGTTGTTGTTCATGCCGGTGCAAAAGGATAGCGCTACAATGTAGATCACATGGCATGAAGTATCGACTCGGCCCTTGAGATGCAATCTCCGACCGGTCGTCTTTTCTTGTCGGAGGGCTTCAGCTCTGTCACTGTGCCTCCTTTCGTCTAATACGCGAACGATACATCCACAACACAACCTTTCGACCTACCAGGAAACGAGCGAGAGCAGCTAGCAGGGGTGGTGCTGGTGGTGGCGGCGCTGCCAAAGCAAAGCCCTCGGAGGGAATGGACCGGGGGGAGCTAGGGGCGATTGGTGTTTCTGAGGCCGGGGATGATCTCGGCATTCCCACGGCTCCCGGGAGGCCGGCGAAGGTGAAGCAATGCCCCTCTCATCTATCAACTGTTCTGGGTCTGATGGGGCAGTGCTTTGTATGGGCAAGTTTGCGTGTTTGTGGGGGACATCGTGTGCCAAGGGCATGGCTCGAACCAGTTTGGATTCCAACGATTTGAAGGAGTGGCCCGCAATTTCAAGACAATCGACAGCTAGGTGTCCATCGCAACACTGGCCCAACTGCACCCCTCGTTGGGGAGCTCAGCAGCACTGGGATAACGCAGAGGCCCATCTGTTTATTACGCACGGCCCTTTCAGCCACCCGTGCACGATTTCAGTAGAGCTGCGCGTGCTTTCTCCAAAACGCGCTTACCCGCGAAGGCTGTCCCACCGCAGTCAACCGCTCTATCAACAAACATTTGATTCCGTCTTGTCATTTGCGTGCATGTCGACGTAGAACGCCGTGGTTTCTAATATATGACGGTGCCCGAGAGGGGTCAAGTTGAACGTTCTGGTGTCTGGGTTCAAGCTTCTCCGATCGGCTGCTCGGACCGTTCCTCGACACGTTTACAATGGAGTGAAGACCGCCCAGCAGAATAAACATAAACGGGGTTAATTTGCTCGACGTTCGTTGCCTTACAAGAAACACCTACGACCTAGGAGGATTTTGGGCGAATTGCCACTGCAACCATTTTCGGTTGCGTTTTGTCTCTCACCGTAGCGCAAAGCCGGGAGCGACACCGCCGGCACGAGTACGCCGGCCAAGCATCCCGGTATCGGCCGAACGTGGGGATCGAAGGGCAGAGGCAGCGGGAGCGTGACTTGCTCGGACATCGGGACGTATCACCCGAACGGGACGGCGATGAGAACTGTGCTCAGACACAAAGGGTGAGGGAACACGCGAGTTGAACTACTTGTTTTCGAGGCCGGGTGGGGGAACAACGTTCTTCTGATTGCTTGCTTGGGGAGTTTCGCCACACTGTTCGGCGTTGTTGTGGTACATGTCGCCTGCTGCTGGCGTTGGTGTGATGAGCATCGGCGTTCTGCGTGCGAAATGTGTGCGCGTCAGATTGCTTCCGAACAGCAATTGCCCACTTAGGTGGTAAATTTTCCCACCTGGGTGGTAATAACGGTCCGGGAAATATCTTATTCCCCCACCAACTATCGTACATTTGGGGGTTGTGCCTACGTCGACATCGTTTTTCCGCGAATTTCTGCGAGATCGGATGATGCAATATCGTGGTTTGCATCAATCATAACTGCTTAAGATTGATCCGTGTCTATGGCAACAACTTGAAGCGTTGGTACTACCAGCAATGTTTTTCCACGCAATGGCGGTGTGCTCCTGTTATTCATACGACTTTCTCGGAAACACACCGTCGGTCGCCTCATCACAACAACTTTCATGTGCTACAACGAAAACGGACGTGTTTTCCAATCGTGCTCCTAGCTCCGAACCCTCGTGGGATGAACCGCCAAGACCCGAGACTCACAGACCACCTGTTCGGGTTCACGAATACTCTCCAACAAGGCGTCCCCCGAACACAACCCGCTTCTTTCGTTCCCCCGGTGGAAACACGCCAAGGTCCGAGCTGAACATGTCCTCAAGCGTGGAAGTGGCCCGCCTCGGGCGAAACGGTAGCACCTCCTCGTCCCCGTCTCCTCGAAGTATAGCCAACATGGGTTCGCGGTGGCTGTCGGCCGGTTTTGCAACGCCCGGCGGAAGTGCTCCCACCAGGTTTGTGTTCGTATTCGATGCTCGGTTTTTCGTTTTTGTGCGATGTCGAATTCAGTTGGCGCCAACATGTCGCCGATCTATGCAAAAAGTTGCATACGATCAATGGGCCTTGGTATGGATATAGTCCTCTTGGTGTTTCAGGGTTTCGGCATGGGTGCAGTGGCAGAGAAAATATTGCTCCTGCACGAGGCTTTGTCCGATGTTGGCCCCTTGCCCACTGCGATGACATGTATCCCCCTCACAGGGAACGTGCAAGGGTGACCGTAGCATCGCAATTGAGAATAGCACATGCGTTGTTACGTGGTCTCCACGTGCAGGTTAAGGCCGAGTACTCCATACCCATCGGGGTGGAACAGGCTCTAACTCTGCCGTGGCATTTCCGCCAGTGTGTATTAGTTGCCGTTCATCGAACTGTCTGGTCAACGCCATGACGATCGGCCTGTTCAAACCTGTGCCTATTTTTTTTCGTCGCATCTAGCTCGAAGAGAGTTTCGGTCGGTCGACGGGGAAACGCTAGCACTTCGGCCCTGAATGTTGGCGAGGGTTCTGAATGGGGCCCCGCGGTCGAGCTTTTCTCCGAGTCCTACGACTTGAAGGCGGAATCCCCTGAGGTGATGAAAAATGGTTGGCGCGCCAGTACCGTGCGGAAACGCGTCGTGAACGGTTAAGAAGCGTGACGGGTATACCTCGAGCACAGATCGACTGCACGAACTAACCCGGAAAGGTATTTCCGAATACCCACGATGGTTTCGCCGAATTGGTATCTCCATCATTCCAGCATACTACCATCGAAACCTCTACTTCGAAAAGTACGATAGCAGCACCTCTTACACATTTTGCCAACTAGAACAACATTTTTCCAAAACCAACAAGGCGTTTACCGTACGGACCTCACCGTATAGCAGGCACAGCAACCTCTCCTCCCTCGTTCCCAGCAGCTTCAGCAGCAGCAGCAGCAGCAGCAGCAGCAGCAGCCGCAGCAGCAGCAGAAGGCCATCGAATTTTCTTCATTTGCGTATGAGCCGCAGCCACCGCACCAGCAGGACGCCTTGGGTGCCGGGCAGTCGTGGGAACAGCGCGCTAATACGAGCGGAAACGATCGGGTAGGAGACCACACCGCCCGCGGCGCCGGCGCCGGCACCGGGCAGGTCGCAATCGAGCACACGCTTCCGTCGACGCACAAGCAGCCGCCGGAACGCGTCATGCATCCACCTCCCACCGCGGCAAGCTCTCACACACCTAGCGCGAGCAGCGGGCGGGTGCGAGCGGCCCGGTCGTGGGGTGACGTTTCGAGGCAGCAAGGCAAGGGCCGCCATGCTGTCCCAGGGGTGGGGCAAGCGGTGGGGGTGGGCGAGCCCCTTGGAGATGAGTGGGCGTCGGGGGGGGCAAGGACACAACAGGAGGATGTAGACAGGAACCGCTTCATTGCTCGTGGCGTAACGGGAAGAGGCGACCATGATACGGGGGTGCGCGGTCCGTCTCCGCTTTCCTCTTCTATCGGGGAGTTCGGCGGGGCGGCGTCGGGGTCTAGCGGTGGTGGTGGAGGTGGTCGGAGCTGGAAGGCTGGGGCAAATACCAGCAGCTTCTTCGACCGAGGAGAGGTAGAGCACTCGGTAACGCTCGCCAAATGCGTAATGTAGAGATATCAGGAATGCGGCATGGCTTGCTGGTCTGCCATGTTGGATTCCAATCACGTCCAGAACAACGCGGATACTGCCCAATTCGATACACTAGTTCGGGCGTAACCCCGAGCCAACCAGAGCGACCAATCGCCACGCTCGCATCAACCAATCCCGTTCCGTCCCTTCACTCGTAACTCCATGCCGGGCTGACTCCCAATACCCCCTTACTCCGTCATCCTGACGAAACTCTCCTATATCCTCGTCGCCTGGCTGTCATTAGAACAAAGGAGCCAACCTGGAAACTCGGAAACCGGCGATGGCGACATTGGTCGACGGCAATAGGTTCGGCCCGAATCAGCCGGTAGGGTCAGGCACGCCTACGTCGTCCTGGCGACCAACCGCGCTTCCGGCCGCCGTTGGGCGGAATGAGGCGGCATCTCAGTACAGTGAACCGAACCCGAATTCGTCGTTCCCCCCGTCGGCGAAGCGCGGGGTCACGGACGGCCGCGGGAGCGGGCGCGGAGGGGAGGAGGCAGATGTGGGGGCAGCATCAACGGTGACTACAAACTCTCGCGGGTTCCATGCTTCTCCTCTGACCTTGGCGCCAACCTCTCCGATCAGCGCGACCGTTTCTCGGAGGGGTGGAGATCAACGTGCCCAGTCGAGGCAACGGGTTTCAGCTCCCCCTTTGGCTGGTTCAAGAATGACCGGAAGCCAAGCCGGCGGAGCACACGGTGGTAGGGGGGCGGCGGCGGGAGGTCTCGGGCGTGGATGGCCGCAAGGAACGGAGGAAAGACGTCGCACATTTCAGAGTCATGGGGCGCCTGGCGGTGCCGTGCACAGGGGCGAGCAGATGCAGGAAGACGGCGGGGATTGGTTTGGCCAGCATCCGACAACCGCGGATCGAGGCGACATCAACATCAGCCACGGCATCAAAATCTACGGCCCACGAGCAGCGGGAGTAGAGGTCACAAGGGGGCCGACAAGGACGGCTACTCGTGCCCAAACGCCAGAAACAAGACCCACGGCCGCTGGCGATGTTAGTGCTCCTGCGGGACAGTTCTCGGCGGGGTGCAGCGGCGGCGTAGGAGGCGGAAGCGGTGGCCGCGGCGAGGACGCGGGCGTTGCGGGGGGGGCAGTGGCTCGGGAGAACGTCGCGACAAAGCTCGACTTCCACACGGTCTTCGACTGACCGAGGATAGACACGGTCGACGCTGCCGAGGGCGGCTCAGTTCTCTTGCAGAAGAACAGGTCAGGGGGTATCGCCGTGTGAAAATATGCACTCCCCTTATTGTCGTCGGTGGTGTGCTTGGGCTGCCCGGTGACGCCACCGTCGAATTCGTGCTAGGCATCTTGCGCGCTCAACAACCACGTGACCCCCGCAATCGACCCGGCATGCTTGCTGACGGAGGCCGCTCATTCCCAACCAGCCCCCACCTTCCCGGCACCATGATGCGTGTCGCTTGGGCGCGAAAGCAGCATATGAAGACCCCTCTAACAGATCTCGCAGGGTCGTTCATTTCAGGCGACGTCATGTTCTCGGTCGTCTTGTCCTTCCATGGGCAACTGGCTGAATGGAAAGGCCAACCCCATTTTTTGTCATTTCGTTTCGTTTACGATTGTGTTGCCCTGCTAGTGATTTTTTTTTTCGCTTGTTCGAAAAGTCGGAAGGGAGGCGGGAGTAGGGCAAAACGTTTTACCCAGTCGTTGCGGAGGCTTTAGCCGGGCGCCACCCAATGACGTCGAAAGCGTCGCTGGGCTAAAGGAATGGCCCTGTCCGAATGCGTTGCTCGAGAATTTTGCAGGTAGAGAACGGGTGACTTTGGCAGGAAACCCAAGTCATGCATTTGCGCATGCGCATGTGTCTTGTCATCGCCGGGTCGAATGGGCGTCTTTCTCGGAAGCGATTGACGAGTGCCTATGCTCAGCTCAGGCACCCCAGGTGTACTATTTGTACGTATCAGCGAAGCTGAATATCTGGGGTGGTAGTGATGCTCACTTGCGCACACGCGCCAAAACAACTCACGAATCACCAGTTTTTTTACGGTGCCTGCCGAAATCGTGTCAACAACGTGGTTGCAATTTTGTCAATAGACAAAGAAACTTGGAGCAAATAGACGATTGTCTCGACGTTCAACGCACTTTGTAGGCGTCCAAGCGTAGTCATCGGGTTAGTACACACAATCGTATGCATAGGCCCGTTGTTTCAGTAGGTGGCTCGGCACAGCAGTGTATCGGACGAAGCATGTCGTGTCGATGGGATGGGGCGTTGAACCTGGGATAGCACAAGTAATTGTTCTCCGTGCATTCATTTTTGTGTACCGGTGGAGAAGCAAGCAGCAAGGTGTCAAGGCTAGATGAAGGCAGGACATGGGAGGTTGGTTGGTCAATTGTGTCTTGAGGCCGATGAGGCCGGGCAAGGCGTAGGGCTTGTCAGCGAGGTGTCTGTACAATCGATCACCGTTGCCTTTGTCACTCTCGGGAAGCGTGCTCTCGTCAGCGATTGATGGTCAGTTCAGCATTGTCGCAAGCGTGCTCAGAAATCGGAAGATCGAGCCGAGATGAGGCGAGGGAAGGAAGGGCAGACTTATGATGTAGCTCAACCGCAGGTTGGGGATTTCTCGCTTCACACTTTTCTATCCTAGTGTCATGAAGATCTCCAATGAGCTGGAAAATGTTCGATCGAGGAGGCTCTGATTGATGTCCATCCCCAACCGGAAAGGAGAGGCCCTGGTGTCCATGCAGCGATGTACCCAGAACTTAGGTGCAAGTAATCACATCCCCGAACAGCCACGCTGTGTTTCAGTGTGCAGGAATTGGTGTGATCCCTCCTATATTGTTTGCGCAGTCTTGTCGGATAGCGATGTTGGTTGTCATTGAAACGCCGGATCTGATCAGTTTGAATTAATCCAAGAGCGATGGAACGGTGTTCATTTCGTTCGATAGTCATGGCATGATATATATTGCTACACCGCCAGCACCGACAACACTTTCAAAGGGCTCGTGGGCCGGCCGCGGTGCAAGGTGTAGCTCTGTATTGACACCGCGGCAAGAAGGATGTGCGATATTCACACCGCTTTCCCTCCAAAACGAATACTGGTGTGTCTGCTATCCTCAATTAAATTAAATTAATACCTTCTACCGCCCGCCGGATGCCATCTACCATGTACGTACGTACCACGCGCCCATTCCCGACCCCCCCTCCTCCCTTGCTTCTCCCACTCCATCACACGGAGTAGACTACTCGCTGTTTACTTTTTACACAAGTACCGCTCGTTCATCCGCCACACCGAAACAATGACCATCCCTATCCGGTGTGGGAGTCCGCTCAACTACTTCATGGTAACACGTATGTATCCTAGCGTATACATTAGTGTGTTGCCACGCACTACACTACGACGGAGGTCTCGCCACTCCTCCTCCGAGCTCCAGACCTCTTGGCGCCATCAAAACCCGTAAACAGCCCGGTGTCTCTCAACGTTGCATTGGGTGCGAGTAACCCTCCATCCAGGCGAGAAAAGTATCCAGAACTCGTCGCCACTTCGGCGCACATCCACCAACCCACGCCGCGACTGAAACTCCCCAACACGCAAGCCGTTTGAAGTGGTCTCTCCAAGCAGAGGTGGAGAAGGCTTGTGGTGCCTAGAGGGGTTGGCTATAGGAGGAAGGCCGTGCAAGGATGTCAAGCCCCTCCCCTAGGAGTTTGCCTTCCGGTCTTTACATCCGCGGGATTGTTGTAAGCGGTGGTGAGGATGTCTTCGCAAGGGCCCTGTTTCGTTGTCAAGGACGAACCGTGGAAGGCCGACACCAGGATCAGAGATTGAGAAACAAGATAGGCGACGATACCTCTCTGTGACATCGGACGCCACACATTGACGATCCTCCACCTCGGTGTATTGTCCCTACGCTCAGTTCTTTTTTTCCGTCCTATTCACATTCGTTTTCTCTTTGGTATTCGTGGTGTATGCCCTTCAGGCTAGTGACGGCCTGTGGCCACCGAAGGCTTCCGAGTCGGTTGGACCGGCAATTAGCGCGAAGGAAACAACAATACATGTGTATCTGTCGCTAGCTATTTCCTGGCGTCAACATGTCAACCTGAACCACGGCCATGAGAACGTCACCCCACAACCTCCATTCGTCGTTTTTGTGTCCCCCGATCATTGAACCCCCCGGGCGTTATTTGTTGGCCCAAGCCCCCGCCCTTTCTTGCGACGCGTTCAGAGTTCAGAGAGAACACAGGGTATTCATTCGAAAGCTTTGTGCTGCCACAAGTATAGCGAGCTGCAAGACACCTTCGGCTCACTGGAATGCCACGTATTGTGTGTGAAAGCGAGACACGCGGAACCAGATATGTTCTCGGTATGTTTTTGTAAGCAGACTACAGCAGGTATAATATTTCCGGGCTCCACCATGACTGCAATGTTTCTCACCATGAGCCGCTCAAAACCTGCGATGCTGAGAGCGGCGCACTTGAGGGGACCGTGGGCTTTCACGGTAGCCGTCCGGGGTGTTTTTTCGACCAGGGCCTTCTCCCCAAAATGGTCACCTGTACGTTTGTTGGGTGCATCGCGCATGCATGTTGAAACCTCACCCCAAGCAGACTATGCGCGTCGTCGATAGTTTCTTGTCAAAGCCACGGGCGGAAGTTCGCATGTACAGTAAGAAGTAGAAGCTGCACCTTGCCATTGCTTGTTCGGGTCGTTTCGTGAGAGTGGCGAGCTTCTCCTTCAACGGTACTGTTGTGGTGAGAATGGTTACCCAAACATCCCCCTCTAATCAGGTGAGTATATGCATGCTGCCCTCGAACCTCGAGCGCAGGGTACCCCACATTCTTGGCCTGCAATACTCACGCAGGCTAAAGCCGTCCACAAAAATGCCCCTACTCCGCGCGCTGGTAGCTTCTCTGTCATTTTTTCGTGTGCATTCAACCTCGTCGCCGTACAAGAAGCTTCTATCTTTCGGCATGGCGGTATGTAATAGTGTCTTGTTCTCCTCGGAAATCGTGCACCATATCATTAACTATGTGTGGAGTATCCTTCGTTTGTCCTGTGGCAGCACCAGGTTCCTCGAACGTGTAGTGAAGGAACCCCGACCTTGTAATTCTCCGTTGTTCTTGTTCTAGACTAAATCGGAAGCAGCGTACGAGCGATCAGTACGTAAGCTCATCTCTCGCTCTACCCCCCCACCGCTCCACCTCGAACGGGGCGCATGTCCTTGGTCAACTCGTTCAGGCGGTGCGTTTCAGTCAATTGGCACCCCGTATCTTGGATATTTCGATCTCACCCGGGTGCAGATGGCTCATGAGCACGTCTTCCCCGTCCTCGTGCACGTACGCCCTGGCCTCCCCCTCCTCCACGATGTAAAACTTGAACAGGCTCCGGTCGTCATCGCCCTCCTTGATTATCGTGTCACCTTCAGGGGGGGAGTGACGCACATTGATACATGATAATAAACACGTTGACGCAATACCTGCAGGTGTAGCGCGCAGTACTGTAGCACGAAAACCACCGAGGCTAGAAATCACCATTAACACAGACGTCCTTGACAGTTATGAATGAGCTGCTTGCGACACCTCAACAGGAGAATACGCCGAGGTCTGACTCTTGGTGCGCACGGACGAGTGAATATTTGGTAACATCTATAGCGTATCTACGCCGCCTGTCCTTCATTGGTCTACCCAGGCAATTGTCATTACGTGTTTTCCTCCCAGTGTGACCCCCGTTGATACGCCAAACATCTGTACGGAACAATCTGAAGACTGGCGCCAGAACAGATTAGACGAACACGCACACTTTGAATGGTGCATGTGTTGCTCGTTCCCCTTTTCTACTTTTTGTGGCACATGTCTCAAATCAAGGCTGTTTCGTCCGCCCTCACCATCGGCAAAAGCGATGGGCTCCACGGCGTCCGCTAGCTGCGCGATGTCCGTCGCGCTGAGGTTCGCGCGCTTCAGGATTTCTACCTGAAAATCGACAATATTTTGCGGAGAAAACGCCAGCATCAGCAATACAGCAACATACGACTCGAGACCTGGTTGACGTCCGAGGGAGTAGTCGGGACCTGGGATAGAGGCTGCCGACGGTGAATACAGATACCATGCCCACGCAAGATATCATGCTCCTTTCAAAGAGGACTACGGAAAACGCCACCAAGAGGTCGACCTGGTGACACTCAAGACGCACAGTAAATGGCATACTACTATGATGATTCACTCTTCAGAGAATCAAAGGGCGCTGAAGATCCCGCGCCCGTTCGAAACATGTGTGACGTATTTTTCGACTTAAAAACACTTGAACTGAGGTGTGGTATCTCACGCCACCTGTGATGCAAGGGGGAGGTACGCCCACGCAAAAAGCAAAGCACATCGACCAGACCACGAAGGGCAAATCAAACCATACCCACGATCAATGTTTTGGAGTTGAAGTTGGCAAAAAACTCGGCTTTAGCCTGCAAAGAATACAACGCTTGGCGTACGTGCGACACATCGAGTGGTTCATACGACGTTTGGTGTGGCCTTGTCATTTCATTGTCGTGACTTTGATGTCAACACATGGTACCAACCCCCTCCCGTCAATGTGTTTGATACTCAAACAGGAGCATATGCAACAGCTTTCCGTTAGCAAAAGAGACCTCGTACTTCTTGGCGACTCTGCTAAAGCGAGTCCAGCCGACGATCTACCACCAGCGCTTCCCCTACACTGTACCGCAGCGACCGAAAGGACTCACGTTGGCAAGGAAGACCTCGTACTTCTGGCGGCGCTGCTGCCCAGCCTCAAGGATGGTGTGCCGGAAAGTTGTGCGATCCAGCGCCCAAACCAAGCACCCCGTCACCGCCTGGATACACACGTAAGGTTGGTCATGGTTGGATTGGTGATAAGGTACAACCCTGCTAGGCGTCATGCACCGTCTTGATGCACGTACTGCCGTAGACAGTCACTTTTTCAGTACCTGGACCAAGTTTCGCCTACAGGGAAGGAAAGCTCAGGCTTTGATGAGCCAAACGTACGGCAGAGTTGCCAGAGGCGTTAGAAGTGTAGGAGGGGGAGGGAGTGTATTTCTTGTTGGTTTTCTTGCCATGATGTGCCAAATGAGTTGCGCAACACGGTACGTCGCTCGACCAACGATGACTGTGTCTGACTCAGTCAAAATAAAAACAAGACCTTGTTCAGATTGTAAAAGCTTGTTGTACGACGGGAGTTGAAGACGGTCGGGCTGCTTCCCGGATCCAATGATCTTGACGATGGGATGTCCGTGGGCTAAATTAAGTTCTCCACCGTGAGGGAATGGTTTTCTCACGTTAGACGCATTTACCTTGACGGTGGCTGTGCGAGGAGAGTTGTACATGAGGGCAAGTTCGCCAAAGGCGTCGCCGGACTTGAGCGTGCGGAGGGGCTCATCATTGTTCTTCCCCGCGATGAACACCTAGTTTTGTGCGACATTGGAACGACCAAACGCACGCGAGTGGCAGCGGGTGGCAACGGCGATTTGTAGGAGGGGTTTCACACAATCGTCGTCGTGTATTTCATATTTTGCTTCGTTGAACTGTTCATCCGACAGTCCGTCAAGCGCCCATCTCCGAGCGTTGAAGGAATAGGTCTCTAAATGTGGAGAGAGGTCCCCTTTGGTCCATTCTAACGTCAATATGTTGGGGAGAAGGGAGAATGGAAGGTTGGCCGGTAAGGTCCCCAGCGACCACAGCGGAGCGATGTCATCAGCCATGACTTTTCGGCGGTGGTGGCCACGCCTGAGGATTGTGTAAAGAACCGTCACAACATAACGACAGTCACCGCATCACTCCTTAGTGCCCTAGCTAAAGTTCAGTTTTCAAGAAGAGTTCGACATTCCGTCCCCATATCGTCAGCTTTGTCGTCCGTTGGGAGATCGAAGGCCACACCAAAGGCTCCTTCCTGTTTCTGTACCAGACATTGATCTCGAAAGGAAGTGAAAGGGTCAGTCCCCACGAGACGTGCTATCGTGGAGTGATCGTGGAGAACAACGGAATACGGCTATTGACGCAATGCCGTGTGGGGGAGCAATGCACCCCAGCACTCGTTCCCGCCGCTATCATATCCGTGCTTGGAATCAACGTTGTCTGCCTTCACTAGTAGTTAGGGACCGACACGGCCGATGTGTCAGGATAAGAGAAACCATGGTAGAACTGTAAACGTCTGTCGCCGTGAGGCGGGGGCAAGGAAAGGGGACAACAGCTTTGCTGAGTATTCGCCCTCGCCGCTTTCGTTTTGAGGTTCGGCGTTCAACCTTGGCCACCAGAATCAGCCTATCGCAGGATACACAATAACATTGCACTGCGAAAATCTAGATAATCATTGCGTCAACTTTGCGTGTTTGAACTTATCGCGTCCTGGTGTCACGCAAGAATAGTCGTCGCCCATTGGCAAGGCGATCGTGCACCCAAACAGCTGTGTGTGACGTCGTGTTATTTGGCGACGACAACCTGGGTGCCTCAGCATGTGCTGTGCCCAACAACATGTCACACTTTTCCTCAACAGACCGATCGCGCGCACTCTTCTGGCTTGCGTCTTCAAGGTCAGGAAGACATTTCGGGGACATTCACAAACCCCAACGCATGTCTTGCCGTGGTGCTTGCACTGTAGCGGTTACGTCCCTGGCATTGTGGACACCACCATAACTAGCATTTTCAACGAGCTACAGAAGGCCGAGCTGACTGAGGACCACGGCAGCGTGTATCCGACCAAGGAACTCCCTTCCAAGCCTTAGGTTGGAGCTCAAGAAGAAAAAAAAATCGAGCAGCAGCTAACTGCAAAAAGTCAAGGGGCACCAACAAAGCGGCACCAACAACAACGCAGTGCAAGGCGATCTCAACGGACGCACCTCGAGCTCGCCCGAGCCCGTGACGTAAAAGAAGTCCCCGGCCGCCCCCTCCTCGATGACAGCGTCGCCCGATTGATACCTCCGTTCCTCCATGGAATCAACCACCTGGTATACGACACGAAGGTACATCGTCGACATTACTATAACATCAACCAACGGATTGAAGTGATACCCCGTCGGCAGGTTGTGTGACCTTGCTAATGAATGTGGCTTGTTGCTTTTCTTGCTCTTGCTCAGGAGGGTGGCATAGACCGGAGAGCCAATCTCCCTCTTGAATCAGAGCGGTGCAGGAAGGTATGCCGTACGAAAACTTGAAGCAAACGAACAAACGTGTAACGCTTCATGACAAAATAAAAACAAACGAACATCATGCGAAACCAGTAACGACAAGCGACCAACGCCTTGTTCCACGAAAGCCAGAAAGAGACGCGTGGTGGGGAACCAAGAACAACACACCATCAGAAAAATCGAGCACCAAAGGTACAAAGTAGATGGGGTGCAAGCGAAGAAAGTCATATTCTTAAAGCGAGCTGGTTTTTGTTTAAATGGTACATTCCAAGCTGAACGTACAAACCATGGAAGCCAGACACGGCCCACACACATGGGGAAACACTGTGGTAAAAAGGTGGATTCCAGGCCGACACACCGACCTCCTTGCGCTGAGCTTCACATAGCGAGGAAAACAGGAAGCATCGGCTGATGGCCGTCTCGATGTCTTTCAGCTGCGCATCCGTCTTGGGAACTACCTTCTTGACGCGCGCTGCCTGTGGCATTCGGCGGGGGTCAGGCACAGGATGTTTGCTTTGCTCCCTCTATGTCTTAGCAAAGTCTGGGATATTTTGTTGTACGCAGATCGTGGGCATGTCTGGGTGACTACTCGGTCGCTGAAAAGCCTGCTTTCCCGGCATTCGGCGGGGGTCAGGCACAGGATGTTTGCTTTGCTCCCTCTATGTCTTAGCAAAGTCTGGGATATTTTGTTGTACGCAGATCGTGGGCATGTCTGGGTGACTACTCGGTCGCTGAAAAGCCTGCTTTCCCGGCAAGCAGAAAAACAAATTCGGTATGTTCTGGGCAGATTGCACGGGGAGCCATTGCCTTCGTGATTATGATTTTTGCAGAGGCAACCCGTCTTTACGTGGTGCCTGCCGAAACAAGGTGATCGCTTCCATTGGATAGTTTTGAAAGGGGATGAAAACCTTGGACGGTTCGTATTTTGTTAGATTCTTCACGACATACAAGAGTCCGGCAGTCGATGATTTGCTCTGCTTTTTGTGGAACGAGGGGGGACTGCGTGAGTGTTTCGTAACCCACTGGATGGCCGTATTGCTACTGTGTTTGTAGTACCCAATAGTGGTGTATGGCGCTCAACACCCGATGCGCTCAAGATCAACTCGTCTTGCTGGCCGTGCGACTAATGTACCGCCATTGTGGCGGCAGTTTCACCACTTCCGCCTCGAAATCACCAATAGCATATCCAAACGTGCAACGCGAAGGAAATACTTCTGAGATGACGTTGATGTGGATCTGCCTTAGCTTCCCCAAGCCTGAACTGCGGTAGAACATGCTTCAGATCATGTTCGCTACGGTTGTGGGTGCATGCGTGCAAGATAAGGTGTTCCCTGATGTACGAGTAAGCGGTGCACTCACTGCAAAGCCATATCACCTTAGATGCGTCCACTTCTGCACTGACACTGCAGCGTCTGCGGCGGTTGACCGCCCCCTTCGGCACAGGAGATGGCGGTGGCTCTGCCCCTTGTTCTACCTGTTGTGTATGCCGGAGTCCAGGCGAAGTTCAGCAGTGGGATGTACTCGTGACATATGTGGCGCTGCACAACACGCCGCCGTGAAAGAACGAGTGATGACATCGACTGTTGCAGAAGCCACCGGTGCGGAACGTATGGCGGGGTTAGCCAAGAAACAAAACCGTAACTTTTCTGCGGTGAAGCAGAGATACTACAATGTGCGGATGCGAACACGTGGAAGCTGCACGGCACCGTGTGTGTAGGAGCAAGTGTGACGCAAGCCAGACTCACAACGGAGATAACGTAGGAACATGGAAAACAATTCTCCGAGTATGAATTTTTTTGCGTTCCAACCCAATGTGACTTGCCGCTACTCGCACAGCGTGCGAGGGTTGACGACAGCTCCCACTTCCAGCAACGTTTGCATTCCACCTAAGCGCACAACAGACTTTGAATACGACGGTATACGCATGGGTCCACCACAGTTGGGACAGCGGGGTGCCCGACAGACAAGTCAATTTCGTCCTTCAACGCTCAATATACCGGGGTATCGCGTGAGAAGAGTTGAAAGCCACAGAATCATGTAGCACCGCACTAGCTCCGCACTACTGTGGTCTACATGTACAGCAGTACGCATTACCGTCTCCTCATTCTTCGAGTTCTTTGCCCCCATGCTGTATTTCTTGATGCTCCCAACAGCCTGCACGCAAGGCATCATGGCGGATGCACACGTCGGGCAGGAGGTACGAGGGTTTCACGTTTCGGCGCGAGAACCACACCACCGTCGCAGGTGCGGCCATAGGGAACACGATATGTACCAATATATCATGGTCTAACGTGAAGCTTATGCCAGGGTAGTTTTCAAGGTCTGTGAGTGACTCTTCCTATCTACGCGGTTTCACGCCTCTGCTTGGTCGAGCGTTGGTTCCTAGCTTTAACCCTCTCCAGCGCCCTCTCGCCGCATTCCGAGAACTCGGCACAGCCGCGTTCTCGACCAGTTCGCGGCCGCTAGGCCGTGCTGTGGTCGTGGGCAATAGCAGGTCTCGGATCGATATGCCCGTGGCCACCGCTGCCATGGGTGATGACCATGCGCGCGCTGTCGTGTGAAGAAAACAAGTTTGACACTCTGTGCATCCTGCCGAACTTTCAGTCTCAACGTCAAAGCACCTATCAACCAATATGAAGAAGAAACCTTGAGAGTTGACGTGCGTGTTCTACAGTTGTGCCGGTGGATGTCCCCACCGTACGAACACCTTCGGATTTTCTCCTTGAGTGTAGGTTTGTCAGTTGGAGGGCACCACTTCTTGCGGGAGCACAAATGTGCGTAACCCGGAGGGACTACAGTTTAGATCCAACGGACACATACAGGGCGTTCTACAGACTGGAACGGTGTTTGCCTCGTGAAGGTGGTGTTCATCAAACTGTTCATAATACTGCGAACAGTGGTTGCCAGGAACTTCTCGCTAACTCCTCTGATGCAGCCGGTGCGGTGATACAGACGATCGATGTGGTTTACCCCGAGAGCCAACAGAATATTTTCCATCAATACGGAACGCCCACGCTCGAAATATGTCGAGACCAGAATGCATGGGAAAGCTTTATCTACATATATGCCCAACAACAGCGTCCATGACTCGACGCGACGCACACACACAACGAGAGAACACACTCGTCCATCTCACGTCAGCGAAGAACAAAATCCTTTCGGTGGCTAGTCGCCGGCTGGTCGGTGGCTGGGGCATGATACAAAGCATACATGCCTCAGTCGGTCGACAACAACAACACCATGAAAAGCCCGCGTCTTACCCCCGTTATGAAGCTGAACGCCTCAGCGTAGAAGGGTCTGTGAATTTTCTGGTGCACTCTCGCCGGAACACAACACCTCCGAGGAAACCCGACGTCACCTTTGCCAGCAGGTCTAGGCGGATCGAAACAGCGGTGTTGAAGATAATATTGTAGATTTTCCGCCAAGTCCTGCGCTTTGCTCCTGCGTCCGTTACCGTTAGCACCTGATCCAACTTTGCGCGGCGAGCGTGGCGTAGGTGAAGCTGCAAGGGGCACGTAGACGCGCCGCGCGCGCTCGGTTCAGTCTCTCTCTCCCGCTCTGTCGTCGGGATATTTTTTTTGTTTGGAATGCCTGCCGTTTCAGATCTTGATTCTGCGGAGCCACTCGTACCCAGGGGGCACCCCCCCCTCCCGCGCGCGGAACAAAGCTGCACACAGCTGAGCTGCACAGCTGCACAGCTGCAGCACGAGACAAATTGGTCCGCTCTCCCCTGTACTCTGTACTCTGTACTCTGTACTCTGTGGCTGGTCGCGGTGGTGCCACCAGCGGTGCAACCATGAGCTGGCTGTCTTCCATCATCTCTGGTCCTCAGGACAACCACGAAAGCGGGAAGCAGGTGGAGGCTAGACAGGTACGGACACGACTGCTGCTGTTGTTGTGCCTGTGTCTCTCTACTTCGTCTCACGGCTTTCTCTGACTACCAAGCCGCTGCGGTGCAATGCCAAGTCTGCTGGCCTGCCTTCTTTCACATACACGCCGGCAACAATGGAAACCGTTGGCACCAAGTTGCCTCAGTTGGAGTACTGATGCATTTTCTGGCACGTTTCTTTGATGGACAATGATGCGATAGGCACTAGTCTAGGCCGGGACATCGCTCCTCCTGTAGTTGAAGATTTTATTATGTCCAACTGCCGTGTATCCTGTGCACTGTATTATTGCATGCATGCCAACCAACACGTCACGGGTTATACAATACCTAACCCGACCACGTGCAGTCTCTCCGCCGGCTGCGTGGGCAATCCACTTTCGTATTACAGAGTATACCTTTTTGCTGAGAGGTACCATGCACAAAAACCTACGCCCAAAAGAGGCGCCCTAACACAATCTCACCGCATTACCCACAGCCCACAGGACCTTCGAGACACTCTGAGTTAATGAGTCTGTATTGATGCACACCTGCACTTGAATTGTTTCAAAACTCTCATCTTTTCAAGTACTTCCGCCGGCACCAATGGTTTGTGTCGGTTGTAACTCGACTACTGTACATCAGTGCAACTCTCTATTGGACGGCATGCACAAATCGATGTCTTCAAAATGCAACCTTGCTAAATCCTATGCGTGTTTATTCCTTGAATGCTGGAGCATGAGACCAACTTCAACCCCACCGACACATCTAAACGCAATCTATACCAACACGACACGCTAGACGCCCCGCTTTCCCACCGTACTCCCACCAAACTGAGTTTTCCAACATATTGTTTCCCCCGGCACCACCGAACACTCGTTCTTCAGCGAGCTGCTACTAGAGCGAAGCTTGTGAAGAACCTTAGGAATGCCGCACAAGCCTTGGCGGCGCTGCAAGCCAAGCAGCAGCAGGAGGGGGTTGCCCCGCCGCAGCAGGCCGGCGGCGCCATGGGCATGGTCTCTGAAACGGGCGGAATTCCGCCGCGTCAACAGCCGCCGTTGATTGGAGGAGACACCGCCGAGGCTGTCGCGTTGTGCGTCGCCATCGAGCAGTGCCTGTTCCATCGCATCCGGGTTAAGGACTTCGGTGAGAGAGGCAGTGGAGGAAGAAAAAGTCATCCCTAGTCTTCGGATTGGAGAGTTTTGGGCGCTATTGAAGTATGTACGAGAGTTTGGTTGGATTAATGGTAAATGTTGGTATGCGTGTCTCGGTTTCTTCGGGATCTCCGACACCTGCGACAAGGAGACAAGGCCTCCGAAGTGTAGCCTTTGCGCGTAAGCTACTACATTGACACTGCTTGTTTTTGTGCGAGGCTGGCGGTCTGTTCGTGTTGCTCTGTTGGTTGAATGGTATTCACTTCGTGGCAAGGGAGATGGGGTGGGAGGATTAGAGGAGATCGTAGGGTGGTTGATCATCTGGCTCCCCAGAGTTTTCCCCTCGTATCCTGCCGTTACAATACAGCGTAGCCTATCAGTTATCTTGAAACCCCCCGCTTGTTTCACCTCCATGATTCGATGCCAGGTCAAACTTCGGCGCGCCCCTCTTGTCTCTTACGGGATTTTTCACGTGTGCGGTGAATTTGCGTCTGCTGGGTCTCACCGCGCTCGCTACATGCGACCTCATCGCTTCGCCGGGCATCGTGGGCATCGTCAACACGTTGAAAGACATACCCGTTGGAGCCTCTTCCAACGTGGCTCTCTTGCCGGCAATCCCCCCGCCACCACGCACGAACCAATATCTAGATACCAGTACCCCACCCACCTCTGTACCTTACCCCCTTTTCCACACCGCCGCGCCCCCCACTGCCTATTCCGGTCCCAGGCGTGATACCCTTTTGGGCCTTCCTTGAGCGGGTGGAGCGGCTCCCTCTTACCATGGGGGAGGGTGGGGCCGGCCGGCCGGGCCCGCGAGAGCGCCGTCTTGCGAGCGTCCGGAACACGGTCGGGGCCGTGGCCTCCCTGTCGAACGTTTCGACGCCGCTGGGAAGGGCAAGGGCGTGGATCCGCCAGTGCCTGGTGTGCAAGTGCCTCGAGTCTTGCGTGGCGGCGTTGCTGGAGGAAGACCGGCTCGTCAAGGTGTTTAGGAAGTCGTTGGGGAGCGTCTCTTTTTCGGCTTGCCCTGCCCCGTAGAGCTAGCTTGCCTGCCTGATGCTTGGGGGTGCGGTGTTTGTGCGGGTTTGGGAAGCAGGCTTCGTTGCCGACGACATGAAGCATGTGCGTGATTGGGATCCGACTTGAACCTCTCGAAACTGCTTGCGTCCTCCAAGAAATGGCGAACCCGGTGCAATTCCCAAGCGAAATGTTTTGCTGGCACGCCCGCTGTGTGAGACAGACGGCTGTGCGAAGGGTATCCTCAACGCCCCCCCCTCTGCAGTAGCCTTCGCTAGGATGATAGTGTCGGTTGTGGTAGGGGGTGCGGGGCCGAGTTAGGCTTACGAAACCCCCTGTCTAATTCATGAGAGAAGGACAAATTCCTAGCGAACCCCCCCCGCTAACCTCGGTTCAGCGATAAGTTAAGAGCATATCTGCTCCCTGCACCCTCCTCCGTCCACGCACCCTTTCCCTGTCAAAGCAAGGTGTTCTACGAGCCGACAGCCCTGGCGCGATGCCGAGAAGGATCGATCATCCTCCTGCGCCTGTGCGCGGCCCTCGAAGCCTTCGACGTCGCAATCGACACCGACCAATCGGCTCTCGACACCCCACCGCGCTGGCCAATCCTGGAAGAGGAAGAAGAGTGGGACCGACTCGCGGAAGAAGAATCTTCAGGGGCCGCCGCCGCCGCCGCCGCTGCTTCGGGTACCCATGCGCGTACCGCCTCCCGCTCGTTCGATGAAACGACCGTGGCGGGAGGGGCTATGGGTAGGTCGGCGGCGGCAGCAACGGCGAGGGGCCCACCCGCCGAGCACGGTTCGGTGTCGTGGTTTCAGGAGCAGCGGCAGCGGCAGCGGGAGGAGGAGGCGGCGGCGGCGGGGAGGCGGTCGGATGTAGGAGGGTGGGCCGCCTCGGCCCTGTCGGAGATCGATCAGGTCCGCTCGCGGGGGTGGGGGGCTTCGTCTTTCACACATGTCCGTTTTAGGATTTTGTCTCTCACGGAGAAACATGGTCTTGTTCATCGGAAAAGTTCCTTTGTATGCCTCGCTGTTATTACCTGGTTATTGGTGTCGGAAAACCTGGGTTGGCTTTGTTGCTGGGCAGCATTGATGTTCTTGACGGTGTGGTACAGCTACCTGCCGATCAACCCTCCTCTGTGGTCGGTATATGATCCGCTGTCATGGAAGACCCACGCCATCCCTCCTTGTGACGGGGAAGTTATGTCACATTAAGTACTTTTAGTACAAGGGTTAGAGGTGGTTGAACAGGAGCGACAGTAGTGTGCGTAAGGTATGGTCAAGGATGCTGCTCCGGTTTTCTCTGTGAGGAAGCGTGCTTGCAGCGGGAGGCACCACCGCCGACGTCGCTTGATCCATCTCCCCCGGCCAGCACATGCAACCGCCGTTCTTGACGGCGTTTTTGCTAGTTCTCACTCTGCGGGACATTCGCTCGTCGTGTTGCGTGTTGGCGTGCCGGCCATGTGCACACGAGCTACCTGGCTCCGTCCCGCTGCCAACCTCCGGCGCTCGCTACTCACCCCCTCTTGCCTGCCCTCGGTGCTGCGCAATGTTTTTCCGTGCGGGTGATCTTTTGCGTACCGTTGCCACCCCCGAACCGATGCCTTGCTCTGCTGCACGGCCCTACCGGAATTGGGGGTTTCGCCGATGCGCTGCTCTCCTTCACGGCGCTACGGAAATTGGGGGTTCGATGCCGCCTGGCGTTTTTCGGGGTACCCGCAGCTGGCAAACGGGAACTGGAACGAGCAACTGGACGACGTGCTTGCCACAGTCAGCTCCAAGGTCGACAAGGTATTTAACACTCGTACCGTCCGGAACCAAACATTCTTGAAACTAAAATACCCAACATGTGGTGCATCCGAGATTGCCATGTTAAGGTGTTGTGCCCTTGTGGTGAACGTCTCAGCGTTCTGTCGAGTTTATTTTCAGCATAGCGCAAGCCGTGCCTCTCTACAGTTTGGATCGGCGTCGAATGATGTGCGTGTCGAACCGGCGTGATGCGGCCGGTGGGGGTGGAACAGGGGCTCCGTGGCTCTTCTTCTTGTGGTGTTGGCCACGACGACATGCTTCTGAGCTAGCCGTGCCTATCCCCACTCGCTGCGCGGCGCTCAAGTGCCTCCAGTACGAACAGTGTGCCCCCCCCCCCTCCACTGTAGCATATCCCCAGCGCGTAACACGCAAGCACACATCTCTCCTGGTTGCTCACGCCTCACCAAAGTAACACTGTGGTGCCTCCGTCATCAAAACAGGCGGTCCAGTCCTTAGACGAGACGATCAACGACATCTTCGGCGACAACGACGACGTCGACAACGACGATAACAAGGCCAAGGCCAACAGCAGCGGCGGCACGCGCGACGGGTGGGTGGAGCTGCGAGGGGGCACCGCCAAGTCAGCGTCAGCCTTGCTACACCCGGAAGAAGCAGCAAGAGACGCGGCGGCGGCGGCGGCAGCGGCAGCTACCGGCGACGAGCACTTAGCGCCTAGTTCATGGCGAAAGATGACAGCGGCTGGTGGTCCCAGGGCCGGGGCGGGAGGATATCCGGGTGCGTTCGTAATGGGCGGCCGTCGAGGAGGCGCGAAGGGGAGGGGACGGGTCTTCGGCGTCCCCTTGGAAGACCTCGTCCTTAACCCGGAGAGGTGAGGCAGAAAAAATGTGTGTGTGTTCCGGCGGGAGTGTTTCTTCTTGCATTCGTTGGGGGGGCTGGGTCCATGATTCGGCGGAACACGCCTCGTACACCTATGCCGTTTTTCTTGTTCGATTGGATTATGTAGTGAGGAGCTCTACCCCCCCCCTACCCTCCCCGCCTGGCTGCAGATTCGGTTGTCGGTGTTGACAGCCTAACCTGTTGTTGCCGAGCATGTCACAGAATGACTGTTTCCTCCTCTCCCCTGTGGACCAGACTAGCGCAAGCCTCGCCACTCCTCTCCTCATGCGGTCGCGTTCGTGTGTTGCGCTTCGGGGCAGGTGTCGGCGGGGGACGCTTGACCCCGCGCTTGGGGTTCCCGATGCCGTCCTGAGTCTCATCGAGGTGAATGCAGCAAAGAGCCAGGCATAAATGACTGCTTACGGTAGTGCAGTACCCGGTTTCACGGGTGAATTTAGTGCAGGCCTGCTAGATTCGGGACACCTCTCGAGTGAGAGAGACGCGGTTGTGTAGGGCGAACAACCCTAGGGGCACTTGTTGCTGTGTAGCTTCGCGTACCTCACGGGATCCCAGACGCCCAAGTCGAAGAGATCATCTCTAACGGCAGCGGCCGGCGGCGGAAAAGGGTAGTGTTGCTCCCGAGCGGCGTGGATATCGGTGGCACGCACATACGCGAAACCGTTTCTTGTCGTCGTTTCGTGTTGTGTCCCCGCCGCCCACACTCCCGCTTGCTCGTCCACGCACGGCCGCACTGCCACCTGCAGGCGCTCTCGGAGGAAGGATGCCGCAACAGCCCCGGCCTGTTCCTGCGCGAAGCCGACGAGACCGAGCTGGTTAAGGTCGTCAAGAGCCTCGACAAGGCTAATACCCTTCCCGGAAGAAGAGGTGGCGGTCGTAGCGGGGATTCGTCCTCGTCCCCAGCGTGGCTGGTGTCGCGCCTAACGGGGGGCGGAGAGGGCACAGCGGAAGAGGAGAAGTCGGGGGGCAAGGGGGCGCTAGGCGTGTCTCCGCATGCGGTGGCGAACGCGCTGGTGTACTTCTTGCACCGACTGCCGGAGCCGCTGCTGACGTTTCGGAGAAGAGAGGCGTTCTTGGCCTGCGAGGTAGGGGAGTGGACAATGCACGGGCAGCTGTTCGCTACTACTGTCAGCCGATGCTATTGTCGCGACAGGCTCACCGCTCTCTTGCTACTGCTGTTGTGGCGATTTCTATATTGCTGTTGCTGTTGGTGTTGGTGATGTGTTTCGTATGTGTTGCTGGTGTCCTGGACTGCTGCGACGATCGCTGAGTGTTTCGAGGACTAGTGAACGGCGTTTTCCGTCTAGGACGGCGTGAAAACAGACGTGACACCCTGTCCTCCACCTCCACCTTCAGCGTCGACAGTTACAGTTTCGATAGTTTTCTTCCCACTCAAGTTTTACCCAAATCGGTCAAAAACATAACATTATCTTGATTTGCATGTGATGTGCCCCTTCCTGTCCCCCTTTTTCCGCCTTCCACGGCATTTGGAACTTCTTGTCTCAGGCGATCCCGGATCTAGACGCTCGAATCCGCAACGTCCAGCTGCTGGTAGAAGACTTGCCTTGGGCGCATAAGCCTTTGNGGCTTGTTTTACAACGTCTTTGCCAAGCGACGAAAACCCAATCCCGATGGCAAACACCGGGGGGGGCGAGGTAGGGGAGTGGACAATGCACGGGCAGCTGTTCGCTACTACTGTCAGCCGATGCTATTGTCGCGACAGGCTCACCGCTCTCTTGCTACTGCTGTTGTGGCGATTTCTATATTGCTGTTGCTGTTGGTGTTGGTGATGTGTTTCGTATGTGTTGCTGGTGTCCTGGACTGCTGCGACGATCGCTGAGTGTTTCGAGGACTAGTGAACGGCGTTTTCCGTCTAGGACGGCGTGAAAACAGACGTGACACCCTGTCCTCCACCTCCACCTTCAGCGTCGACAGTTACAGTTTCGATAGTTTTCTTCCCACTCAAGTTTTACCCAAATCGGTCAAAAACATAACATTATCTTGATTTGCATGTGATGTGCCCCTTCCTGTCCCCCTTTTTCCGCCTTCCACGGCATTTGGAACTTCTTGTCTCAGGCGATCCCGGATCTAGACGCTCGAATCCGCAACGTCCAGCTGCTGGTAGAAGACTTGCCTTGGGCGCATAAGCCTTTGCTGCTAGCCCTCGCCAATCTTTGCGGCACGATCGCACCACCGAAAAACTCTCTGCCGCCGCCGCCGCCCGAGAGGCGGCGGCCGGCCCCGAAAACCTCAGACGACGTAAATTCCGCCGCGTTTCTGACGGAGGGTGTAACCATCATCGACGAAACGGAACTTGAGGCGGCGGAGGAGGTTGGAGTCATCGGCGGTGTTGCGGTTCGGGATGCGGTGGAAGCTCTGGCACCGGCGCTGCTGCGCTATCCACCTCCGGCCGTCGGAGGGGGTGGGGAGGGTGCAGGTGCGGCGGCCGGGGGTGCGCGGAGGCTGGACTGGGAAGAGGAGATCGCGGCTGCCGCGGTGGTGGAGCTGATTTTTTCCGAGCAGCGGCGCGTGCTGGCAGGCATAAGGGCGGACCAGAAGCGTAGGTGAGAGGAAACACTTCGTAGATTGGCGGCTGAGTGTGTACAGCAGTGAGCGACAGCAGTGGGGTTTTGGCGAGTGTTGCCGAGATGCATAGAAAAGGGTCTAGATGATTGTGAGGGATGATGGGGAGTGCGAGGTACAGACGTTTATCGTGGTTCGAGGGGCCCGAAAGGTGGGATAAAGACGAGGGTATGCACGTAGGTGACAGAGATGGGATGTCCTTCTCGCCCCACCCCCCTCACACTTGTGTTCAGTGTCTAACTTGGTTGAGGGAAGGGGTTCAGCCTACCATGATGATGCCAATCGCTGTGCGATACCACCGCAAGTTGGTTGCGGTTGACCTCCTGCACCAGCTATTTGTGTCACGGCATTCGAGAGACGAGTTCAGGGACGATTGTCTTGATGTGCACGAAGCTATTGCTTGCGAGTTTACCTGTTATCGGCAGTCCAAGGACATGTTTTGCTTTGCTTAATTCCCAGCGAACACGCCCTTCCCTTGGTGCAACCTGCTGCTGTTTCGCCTTTTGGTGATGGCGAACGAACCCCGGTCGGCGACAAAGGGAGGAGAGGCTATCGCGCAAAGTGGAACGCCTGGAGCAGCTGCACAAGATGCTGGAGGCCTCCGTTTACCTCAAGCGCCCGGCACACCTGGCAATCGTGATCTCGATATGGCGCAGGTGCAGACGATAAAACAACACCTGCAGTTTTGTCGCCCAACGAAGGGATTCGGACATGGCCATGCTTCAGAGAACCGTCAGATCCGCCGGTGGCGCCTGCCTCTCCATGAAGCACAATATGGAGCAGTGGGCCTGCGTAGGCTTACGTGTTGTCCTCTTTGGTAATGTACCAGGCTCCCAAAAATTCGCCTGTGGGATGCCTTCAACTGTTGAGAAGGGGCCGCAGTTCGTTTTTTTTTTCGCCCTCTCTCCTAGACGTTCACCCCGCGTGGTTGGTTGTTCGCCTATTTTATTCGCCGCCCCAGGTGGTCGTTGACAGAAAACTCCCAAGAGGGTTTGTGTCTGGCAACACTTGGTCGTTGTTGGTGGTGTTGTTGCTGTCACCGCCGAGCTGCTGTCGCCATCGCGTCTTTGATCCTCACCCTAACTGCACGAAAGGCTACCTGTTTCCACTACTGCTGTTGTTGTTTCACCCCGCCCCCAACTAAAACATACACACCCCGTCCGCACGCCCTGCCTTTGCAACTCCCAGATTGGAGGGAGTAGAGCACGAAATGCTGGTAGAGGCGGCGGAACGGGGAGAGGATGCCGTAGGACTCGTACCCTTACCCGCAAGGGACGACAAAGACGGCGGCGGGCGTAGCACGCGGCACGACGCCGCGCCTGCAGCCGCGGGTGACGGGGGAACTCGCCATAGCAACAAGGTTCCGGCGGCCGTAGACGAAGACCGGGATGTCCGAGAGCTGGAGACCATGCTCATGGGCCTCGAAGCGGACGAAGAAGACTACGACAGCGTTCCTTTCGCCGAGTTTACCGCGGACGGGGAGGCTGAGCTAGCGGAGGCGTGTTGTGTCGCGGCCGGCGAGGGTGCGGAAAAGGGCGAGACGGCGCCCGAGCCGCCGCCAGATGTGTATAAGAGACAGG